TTTCAGCATGTGATGTTGTTAGCCCAAATTTAGCAGGCTGACCATTGATATCAGGTGTGCGTCGGCCGAGAATCGAACCTCGGACGATATATATTGTCGGGGAGCGTCCTAACCGTTGTGGGAAGACGCTATAGCCAGTTTCAAGGTCATGATGGGTTCAAACGTCCACTGCTTATATGTCTTCGTGAATTCGTTTTCCACTGAAATTCAAAGGTTCTTTTGGATGTTTTGCTTATTTTTTCTAGTGTGTAGGTCAGTTTTTCTCACTGGATGCTACTATTAAGCTTATTTTAGTCTGAAATTCCCAGTTATTAAGTTGGTAGTTAAAGATTATGGTAAACCTGCAATCATTGAGCTAATTCATGTATACTATGCTGATATAGTAACATTCTTTAGTAGGTAAACTTTCTGCCATTGTTTGATTATTTGCTGAAACTGGAATTGTGCGCTGGTTTATCAGCATGACTGGCTGTAATTCACCACCTTGCTCTTCTTCTATGCATTTCCAGAAGTAAATTATCAGCCTTATTGCAGCTCTCGTAGCCCAGGTTCAGAATCCAGTGCTCCTTTTTAAGGAGGACCAGGGCTATTTCAGTACATACTGGGTTCACTTCAGTTAGATAAAGTATTCATTTAACATAAAAAGGCATTATTGACCTGTTGGTTAGATTTTGCTGAGAATTGTTGTAAATTTGGTCTTTTAAGCGTCCCAAGCTTATAATAATACTGAATTAAATCTCACTAATTCTGAAATAATTCTAACATTCTATAGTGAGTAAATTCTGAATTTGTTCTGAAATGGATTCTTTAATGGCACAGACTAGAATTCAGTGCAGGTTTTCAGCATGACTGGCACTAATTCAGCACCCTGTTCTTTTCTAGGCATTTTCAGGAGTACATTAGAACCTAATGGATTTGCTTCTCAGCGTTGTTTTAGCCCTCACAGGACACACTAAGAACGAACTAGCGTTACTGCAGAAAGAAAAGACTTAAATCAGCACCCAGCTCTCTGTTTCAGCACGACCAGCGTTATTTCAGAAGATAGTGGGTAGATAAAATCTTCATTTACCATAAAAAGGCATTTTCGAAGAATAGATTAGAATAAGTTTTAAATTGTTGTAAGCTTGGGGTTGCTACGGTATGAGCGATAAATCGTATTAGTCACCGTTACTCAGGATATGCTACGAACTAGAAATCTTCGGCTGATAAAACGTAGTAAATTAGGCACAGATCGCTGTAATTTCTACCTGACTTCCAAAGCGTTCTCATCACGAAACAATCGACCAAAGTATGCTTTAAACTGTCACTCTTAGGCATTTAGAGGGAAAGGAAGTATAACAGCAGTTTAGATATACATGTTTATGTTATGAATACATACGGAATCAACAAGTTAATACAAACATTTTCACAAAAAGTAAGCGATTAATAGGGGCACGTTGTGATCTTAAAGTTGTTTGCGGTTCATTTACTAGCATACTGCCCAACCTTCTGGTGAACTCTGTTATTTCCAGCAGTGCAGCATCCGGATTTCTTTGGAAATGGGACATACCACAGTTTAGATATGAATTCAAGAAAGCCTCAACGACATGCGCACATGGCAAATTGTATGCACAGTATGTCCAACATGTGCGCCTTTGCAAGTCTAAAACAACTTTCTTGTCAGCAAACGGTGTGAGACGCCGTAATATAGACTGCAGCGATGTATGCACCTAGGAAAAATTTTAAATTATATTGAAACTTACATCGTAATTGTAATATTTACAAAGCATCCACTGACCCTAACGTATTTTACGTATGGTTGTGTGGTCAGTCCACCTCCATATTTTCCATAGCGTCAGTTCCAGCGGATCATCTTTGCGTAAATACCTTTTCAGCTGCCTATGAGCATTCTCCACCCTGTTGTTAGTATGGTTCCCCATGCTGATGGCGAACCGGTTGCACGATGCAGCCCAATATTTCCGTGTTCTTAGCCAGTACCTTCTAATGTAAGCACCAGCCTAAGCGTCTATAATACTTATGAAGCTTAGGTAACTCCAAAAACCTTTGCAAATATATTCTGAATTGTTAACCTACCTGTCATAACTGCGCATGTGCTCCATTCGATACAACCACTTTTTAACACGTTGATTTGGGAACTGTTTTCGCTATGTTAATTAGTGGGAATGAAACTTACCTTCCTTCTGAATGCCTGGCATACATGGAAAAGACATAAAACAATGCTGCACCTAGGGAATTCCTCCTTTAAAGCGTTCATCTGTGCAGTTGCACAGTCGACAGTGAATGCTACTGTTTTCGATATATCTCTCATAGATCTCTTAAAAGTCTGCAATATCTCCTTGATATCTACAAACCTTTCCCTCCTAGTAAGAGTAAATAAAACAGTCCTTTCTCTTACAAATCCATCAGTCACAACAAACTAATATAAAGGAAATCTGTAATAAATTTGTAGAAGGAATTATACCTTCTTGTACTGCAACTTACCCCATCTTATTCATTTTATAAGTACGATCAATCTCAAGTGCTTCTGGAAACTTATGATAGAGGTCTATCATATCATTACGAGCGAAAATGATTTTCGATACAAATCCTGCATTGTCCTGCAGAACATTAACTAGACCTGTCTGCCTCAGTCGGTGAAGGAGGTCTTGTAAACTACCGATTTCTATTCTACTGCCCCATTTATTTTGATAAGACTTATGTTTGTTTATCCCAGCCCGCATGTTTGTCGTGCGAATTTCTCGTGCGCTAAATCCATGATTTCATGGACATCAGTGTTCCTTTCAATAAACGGTTGCACAACTGTCATTTCCTCTGATGATAACCGACGTCTAGATACATCGGTGGACATGAAACTTGCTGTGCATGGATGGTTATGCACATTTTGGTATTTTGTTATCTCGTATTCTTCGGATGGACGCCGTACTATAATTTTTGACTGACATGAAATACTTTTGAACCTTAAAATTTTCAAAATTTACACGTACAGCCAAATTACCCTCTGCTCCTAAAGCCAGCACCTCGGGGAGCACGTTAACCTCCAAAAGTGCATTTATACCTCACAAACTCATATTCCATAGGGCCGAATGGGTCATTTTTACTTGAAGCAACCCGATAGGATGTGTTGGATTACTTTCAAAGAAATAGTGAACAATTTAGTTAGTACCTTCATAAATGCGTCAAAAGCTTGCTTAAACTGTACCCACCACTGTTGTGACCTAGTAGATTGTAGTTGATTTATGCTGACCTAGTAAGCACAAATCACACAGGTCACTGAACTGACAACTTAAAAAAGTGGATCAGTTAATACACATATATATTTCCTAATTAACAAAATTAAATGTTTAGATGTTGTAGTTGAATTATATTCGCATAGTAAGCAAAAATGCACACGTCCTATTTTGGACTTAAAATACATGTATCGAAATTATTGTTGATTTATATTCACTTACTAGAAATTCTCATACATCTCAATGTACTTTGAACACCACTAATGCATCCCAGTAGCATGTGACTCATCTACACTACACTCACACCAACACCAAAATAATTAACACGCCATTATGATATTATGGTAAGGTAAGCCTTCAATTAAACTGCCTGTAAATTTCCGTGTCAAAATAAAAAGATTACCGCTTTAACTTATATTTTATACCAATAGGAAGCCAACTAGCCAACAGTCAATGAAAATCTGCCTAAATCTATTTTCCAAGTCAAGAAAGACATTGACAGTCAATTACAATTGCTTTCAATTCATCAACCAGCCGATATATGATGTAACATTTTAAAGTATTGGTTTTGTAAGGAATTTTGTTTGATGGGATTGGGGGATTTCATCATGAGCTGACATCAGTTAGGCAACCATTGGAAAACCTACATTGAGTAATGAACAACTTTTTCTTCCGTCGTAGTCTGGGACTCTTCAGCAGTACGCACCCACCACTCGGTATTGAACCCAGGACCTTCTAGTTACAAGGCCAGCGAGCTCGTAGACCATTAAGCCACTGGGACCCGACTGATCCAATGGCCAGTGCATGAATTCTAACTTCTCCCGATTCATGATACAGCGCGACCAATTCACAATGTCTTCTTCGATGAATTACTGCCCCACCTTTTAACGCAAACATACATTTTCAAAAGGGTGGGTGGTAGATACGATAAGCTTGAATGAACAATGAAAAATGAGTTTTCCAAAAAGGAAAATGTTTCACTGTATAAAACTCACTTGTTTACATACATATTTATATATATATTTGTGAAACCTTTATTTACATCAATGTTTCAAGCATAAAGGATATTCAAATATTTTTGACAATAGTACACAGTCGTCTCTGCATACATTTCGTAGTTCTTTCTTCTAACGAATAACATTCAATGACTTCAAACAATCATATACATGCATGATTTATATCTTCGTTGAGATAAAGCTGACAGTTTTAAATGTGAATACATCGATGTCTGTTCTCATGATTCAATTAACAAAATTATTGTATGCATACACCCACATGGATGTGGTGTATCTATTGTCCCATTGAATAGATAGGGGAGGCGTGCAGGAGGGAGGGTGGGTGTTATGTAAGAATAATGTGGAGCATAATTGGGCAATAAAGTAACACAATAATAATATATAATCATACTGGATTTAAGCGAAAACGGGGAATAAGGTTTCTGTTGTAGGCATGATTAAGCAATTATTACACATGTATAATTCACAAAATAGAAAAGACAAAAAGATAAGCCATAATGTCACAAAGGCGGCGTTAAGCTGGAGGCCGGAGGAGGAGGAACAAGAAGAGGAAGCGTAATAAAGGCTGGTGGTAAAAATGGTGCAAGCTTTGATGATAAGATGGAAGGTTACACAGGGTTGTTGAATCAGTTTACATACGAATAGAAAATCAAAAGTATAAAAAATAACTAACACAGCGACAGTAGTGCATCAGCAGTTCGATTTGGTTATAAATAAACGACACACATTATAGAAATATTTTCTCCCGATCACTCATCATCATTATTATTTTGTAGCACGCTAAGAAAGTTCAGGTGATGATGGTGCAGATTTCATGTTGAAGCCATTTTCTTTCACAGTGTCAGGAGCAGTTTCTTGTACAACAACTTTTAAAACTTTCTGCAGAGTAACTGTGACTCGATCTGTACAAAATAAGGAATATTGAAAGATATTTCATTGTAAATAACATTTAATAATAATAACAATAATAATAAAGACATTTAGAAAAAAACATTATTTGAAACGATCCATGTTAAATGAACGCCTTAAAGAAGATTGGAATCGTCCCAGCTAACTAAAACACACATTTACGAAATAAAGAACCGTGTGTATTTGAAATAATTCTACTGTAACAGTAGAACACAAAAGACTCGGTAACAATCTGACTGAGAAGTAACAGGTATAGAAACAGTCAGATCATAGACATAGTTAACAAAATTGATCTCGTCAGAATGGGGCTGAGTTATGTAACAAGAAAGAATAGAGACTTGAGGGACACCGGTTAGAGCAAGTGAAGGAGTCGAAGACTTCCCATTATATACAATGTACTGCTCCCTAAGTAAGTAAGAACGCAAACACTTATGAATTCAGCAAGCTGTCTGTTAGACAAAAGAGGCCTAGGGACAGAGTTAAAGGCAGCTGTGTAGTCAAGGGAGGCACACTGTAGATATTTCGCACCTCTTTCTAAACTAGAGACAATATTATGATGTAAGTCAAAAGTGCATCTAGAATACACCCACCATATTAGTTTACTCATAGTGATGTGAGCAGGAAGACAAACTGCTGGATGAACAGATACCTTGGCAAAGGAGTGCATCAGTTCCTTCTAATAAACTTCGAAGAAACACTCAAAATAACGGCAAAGAAATGTAACGACGCATGAGTGCAAAGACTAGACAAAGATTAGAGAAGCTTTTCATAATCTCGATGACCAATCGGTAGTAAAATAGATTTAAGTCAATGAGAATGATTTTCACTTATATCACGAAGATCCTCCACAACCATTTGTTTTAGCATCTCGAGAGCCTGACTGAAAAAAAGACAGTCGATGAATGGTGTTTCCACAGAACAAAGCTAAGACACTGATCGAGATCCTGAATATCCTTTCCAATCTTCCTTATCCTCCCTCCCTTTAGATCGTCTTTCCTTTAATTTGATGTGATCTTCTGAAGTGTGGTAACTTGAAGTAGTCCACTTTTTTGTAAGGTTATACGTTGTTGGTAAGCCAATTAGTCAGATAAAGGGGGTACAGATAAATTTAATAATTCCCATTGTAGCATTGAGAACATAATATTCAGCGAAGAGACTCTTTTCAACGAATTTATTATCAAGCTGTATAATCGTATATATATAGTTTAAAAAAATTATATCCGGTGACTTCACAATTTACCAATGTACCTCTTATGGAAACTGTTTCCTATATATATGATTATATTGATACACATAGTGTAGAAATAAGGTTGCACGCTGAATGTTCAATTCATCTTCAATAATGAGATTTTTAGATAGAGAGATGGCATTGCGATGGGATTACCACTGAGTCCCTGGCTGGCTGACTGTTTTATGGCAAAGTTTGAAAACTCTCAAGTTGGTCAAACCATCGATCATTTCGACATTTATAAAAGACACGTAGACGACACTTTCGTTATCTGCGATAATAACGTAATTCTTGATGATGTCTTGTTTGCTTTCAACAACTGCCATCCTTCTTTACAATTCACCATAGAAAAAGAATCTGAACTAAGTATTCCGTTTCTTGATGTGTGCCTTAGTAGACGTAATGACGGATCTCTCAAAAGATCCATTCACCGGAAACGTACATGGAACGGATAACTAACTAATTTTTACAGTTGGTTGCCTATCTCCAGGAAAAGGAACCTAATTCATTCACTCTGCATTAGGATAAGACGCATTTGTAGTTCTGATTGCGTTGACTCAGAACTTAACTTCCTAAAAGCCACGCTTGCAGAAAACAGTTACCCGAACAGATCTATCGACAGTAGCACGAAAGATAAGCAGTCTAAGCTGGTCACTGACTCAGTTCCAAAGAAAACCTTATTCATGAACTTGGAATTCAAAGGTGAACAAGCTTCAGATATGCTCAAAAATCGTCTCTCTAAAGCAGTCAGTAAGACGTTCTTTGCAGCGAAATTGCAAATGACGTTCACCAGCCACAAGTTGTTCTCCATCTCTGTAAAAGATAAGCTCCCCCGTCTGGCCGCCTCCATGTGCATCTATCAGTTCACCTGCTCTTGTGGAGCAAGGTATATTGGCTGTATCCAGGGAACGCTTTCCACACGGATACGAGAACATATTCCAGCATGGTTTTACAAGGGAGAAAGGAAGTGTGTGCGAAGCTCTATTCTAGAACACCTAATCAACTCCTGTCACTCTGCCAACCCTGACTATGATTTCAAGATCATATATAGAATCCATTCTAACTTCCCTCGTTTTCTTCGTTACAGACTCCTAAAGACAGCGGAGGCCTTGGCAATTCATGAATTTAAGCCAGACCTTCGTGTACAAAAGAAGTATGTACAATCCCTACTTCTGCCTTGGCCGTAGAGGGATAGACATTTATGTATTTTGTTTATTTAGTTATTCTATGTACTTTTCCCTTATTACTTCGATTATTATTATTGTTATTACTATTCTCACTCTGAATTGTTTCCGCTTGTCCCACTTGTCATTCTAAATCCAAAATTATTATTTTTTTGTTTTTATAATATTGAGTTCTATCTTATCAAATTTCACACCATATTATATTATGTAACATTCTATATTCGCCTACTAATCTTATAATTATACACCCCCTCCCAACAACATCTAAACACCCGTCTTATATATTATTCTATATATGACATTAATTGTTTTGCTACCTGACATTTAACTATGATGATAATCACAAATACTTTAATTGCATTTCATACTACTATGACTATTTCATGTGTTCACACTTTTGATCTAATTCCCGCACCGGATATAATTTCTTAAAAACCATATGTGTACATGCGATTGTACAGCTTGATAATAAATTCGTTGTTGAAAAGAGTCTCTTCGCTGAATATTGTGTTCTTAATAGAAATAAATTTATCTACTCATATAAACAACAAAAATATTGTGCATAACATCAAATAGTCTCCAAGCAGCGATCCGAGTTTTCTCACACAGATCTTAACCAGGGCAAACATGTCACAGATTAATGGAAAATATTAGTACACAAAATTTCATTCATTCTAGTTCAGCTGACATTGCCATCGTTTGACAGCGAAATGTTGATTGATATATGCTTGAAATATATGTCAGACATTCTGGATAATAAATGTTCACATAACGTCATCAAATAATGCACCTACCTACGCTAACTAAAATGATACGCCTTAATCTCTGTCTACGTTTCTCATAGGGTTATTTTTTGACGTTTAAAATAAAGTGAGAAAGTGTCAGGCAGCAGTTTTGAAGTTTAACGCTAGTAATCTAGTCACCTAATGACGAGACACTAACAACTTTAACATTTAAACGAAAGAAAAGGACAAGTTAGGCTGTCAATTAGGTAAAGATATCAGACAGCAATAGCATACTCAGACATAAGCACACATTGTTTCGAGTTATATAATTCATTTAGTAAACATAAGGCTAACTACAAATCGGACACACTTAGAGAAATGTTAGCGAGAAAAAAGATCAAGAAGCTTAGCGATTTCATTCTCAAAAGCAGATGTACAATAGCATTTATACACATGAGTTTATATTGATCACTATTATTATTATTATTCCATTGGGTTCCGAGTGGAAAGTAGGGCTTCAACAACATATCTCCACATTGTCCTATCTTCTGCCATCGTCTTCAACTGGGTCCACGATCGCCCATAATCTCTCATCCCCTTTAACTCACACGATTTCCTCCACGTCAACCTCGCACCGACGACCCACTTGTCGCTTCCCATTTGGATTCCACTCGAGCACTGGCCTGCACTGCGCACAATGTCATTCGATGGCTTCCTCAACGTATGCCCAATCCATCTCCATTTTTGTTGAGCAATAAGGTCTTGGTTGGTTCCTTGCTAGCTAGAGTTTCTTATTGCTAACTCTTTCTGGTCACCTGGCTATTCGATATTTAGTATGCAGCCTGTGAGGTGGGCAGCTGTTGACAGAAGTCTGTAACTTTCTGGAAATGCTTTTCGTGACACGCTGGCCAAGTTTCTGACCCATATACAAGAAGTGACTAATTTCACATTTGTGTTATAAATCCAAATCGTGTTCCTCATGTTGAGTGCAGATGATTTCCAAACTGGTTTCAGGTCGATGAAGGCGTGTCTCAACTTTCCGATTCTCGCTGGCTGACTGGCTGTGATATCTTCATCCGTTCCGTCAGTCTGTGGTTAGGACGATGTTTCTTGACTGGATAAGTGAAGGAAGTAACCTCTGTCAAATCTCTCCCGTTGATGGTGATTGTTGCTGGTTGTCGTTGTTGTTGTCGCTGTTAGTTGTTCACCTTCATCACCTCCTTCTTCTCTACGTTCACCTGAAGTCCTGTCTTCGCTGTCTGCTTCTTCTATCAGTTTATTGGCTTTCTTTTGCAACTCTTCGAGTTTGTGTGAAATTAAACAGAGAACATCTGCGAAGTCGAGATATTTTACATAGGTGCAACTACTATTTCATTACACACAATAAATGCGGTGAGAGCTGTCTGCGAGACAAAAGTGCAGACAACAATTGAAGTTAGTGTTTACGCTTCAAAATCTTGGTCCGGAGAGAAAACAAAAACAAAATCTAACCGTGAGGAACTCCACAACTAATCACAGCAGACTTAGCGTAGGCCGATATGATTCGCCGATACACCACCAGACTGTCTAAGAAACGCTAATAAAGAGATAACAGAATAACCTTCAGCAGGAAAGCAACCAATCAGAAGACGTTGCTTCTCTGCTAACAATAACGCTAATAATAGTGTGCAAAAAACCTATTAATATCTGTTGATTTTCTAAATAGACGATCTGTTGCCTGTCTTTTGTCTTCTATCGTTACATAATGAATGGAGATTAAAGGCGGTAATAATTTTCAACTTAATGTGAAATTTTGAAGGTGTGAGTGAACATAGATTACAAACAGCTTAGAAACAAAATTACACACAGGATTAGAAAATAGTTGCGTTATATGTAAAATAGTTTCAAAAGAATTTGCAGCATTGATTGCTTAGAAGAAGAGCTCTTATTTCTGAAAAATGTCTTGGCTTAAAATGAATACTCGGCACGTTTCGCAAAGAAAAACAAGAAACCAAAGTCAAAAAGAGGAAAATGCACTTCAATACCAAAGAAAACGCCATATAAGAATCTGGACTTCAGAATAGAGACTTGGCGGTAGATAAGCTAAAGAGGAGAATCTTTGATTCCCTAAAGGAAGACCTTTCTTGCAGCAACTATAAGAGTGAAATTCTCTAGCTGCCCACTGCTTCTAAGCAATGTGAAGAACTAACTTCCGAATGTGGCCACTTCAGTGTGTATATATCAGTCCATTTAATCGTGATTAGCTAGGTGCATAAGTCGTTCTATGTGCGGGTCTTTTCAAAATGTGTCAGAGAACATAACACAGCATGGCTGCAAAGATGACGCACTAATTCAATGAGAAGTTCCATAATTGAACACCTCGTCAGTACACCCGTCACAGCATCTCAACTGACTACTCATCATTCAGAGACATTTACAAAGTGAACAAAATCTACCAAAGGCAATATGTTTCCGACTTCTTTGTATTACAGAAGCCCTCACCATGTGCATCGTAGATAAACCGGAGCTACGTGTTCAGAAGGAACCACTCCAACCTCTACATTTACATTCTAAGCCGTATGGAATCTATATTCACTCACGCCTTCGAACATTCATATCAAGTTGAAAGTTATGATCACCTTTAATCTCCTTATGTGGAATTAAGTCAGTTGATCTTTTCTCTCAAATACACGAGAAACGAGACATGTGTCATGGCGCACGAAGGACAGAACCAACTGGCAAAGTGGAGTATACTAAAATTGGCTTTGATTCTATCATATATTAATAGACCGACCAAAATACCAAAAACATTGAAAAAAATCTTCAATTTCAAATGGTACAATGGATTGAATTGAAGTTATCTTGATGTTGAATAATCATTCAAAAAGTTTTCAGTGATAATAAATATATTCTCTTATATCTGTTTTAGTGAACTAACCCTTAAGCCCTCAGGTTGAGATTAGCGGACAACTTTTGCAGATATTATTTACCCTGACTGAGTGGTTTCAACATAGACCTTCGCACACATGTGCAGCAGTACTTCGAGTTGACACACTCCATGTATCATACAAAGCAAGAGAAGAGAGTAAAGACAGATTCAAAAGGGAGATATTCAACAGAAGTGTGAGTCAGGGAAAAAGAATAGTAATATGAAAGAACAATAGAGTATTGTTGGATATGACAAATCACAGTGAGTGAATGCATCTGTGCCATTTACAATGGATGATTTTGAGTCATATCACCAATCGTCTCCAGCCGTCATTGCTTCTTACCATCCCAATGACTTCAAACAGTCAGTCAGTCAGTCTACACCTCCTTACATGGCTGGCCTAAACTAACTATTAAGGACTTCATGAAGTGATTCCAAGTATTGGCTTGACCACCACTAACTCTTTTCTAATCTGATCCATCCTATGTCAGTCTGTTAACATTGTCCGTCAAGTAAGGCAATGGTTACGCAGGCGTGTCAAATGTCCCAGACGCCTCCATCGATGTTGCTTCACAACCTCATCTATTGATTTTACATCCTTACCTAACATTCGACGCCTAACCTCAATATCACTCACCCTATTATATTGTAACAAAAGAAGGCAAAACACAGAAGCCAAGTTATACTTTTCATTGATCAAAGCGCCCTTTATTTATCTACAATTTATATTCCTTAACCAATCACTGAGTGTGTGATTTTGGTTTACATTAAACGACATGAAATAGAATCTTCATATGTACATAGTATTCTGTGGTTAACGCAGTATTGAACTGTGAGAATATGTGAGAATCATATTCCGTTGGCACACATTGTCTGTATCACACCACCACAATTTCACCTTACATGGGAGATAGAACGCAGACACCTATGATCGACGACAGTTGACCAGACTTGTCTTGTCTTCCACTTCTAATAACCATGTTTCACTTACAGCCACAAAGCAGGACGGAGCGAAATGCTGCTGAGCAGTACACACGCCCTTTGACCAATAACCAGCCGGATATGACATCTATGCGACAGATGGCGTAAGCTGGCAGGTAGACATTTCAGAATTTAACTGTCGAATAATAACGAATAAAAGTCCAAGATTCCCGGTTAAAGAGATGAGAATTTTGAATATCATATTAATTTGAAGTGTATTCCAACTAGGCGCAACAAGGTGAAAATAAATCTAGAAAGCCATCTGTCGAAAAACTGAGGATCTTTCATGTCTAACGAGAAAATAGTTCAATTTGACCTGAAATGCTTCTTACATCAGATTAATTTTTCTACATGTGCAAAATAAATTACGTGGCAATCAACACAACTTACATATTAGCAATTCCATGGATTTTGGCTTGTTCTTCCACGACACTCCAAAAAGATACACCGGTATGCCTAACGCCATCACACCCAAACTAACAGCAGAGGATTTCGGAGACTGATATACTGTTAGTATTCCAATAGCAATGTCGACAACCAGATACAACACAGGGACCCATATAGGTAACTGGAAAAGAGAAAATAAAATGATAACGACGTTATCTTTGAAAAGTTACTCAACAAACAAAGGTATTTTATCTCGGTGAATTTTTCAATAAATGAGGATGCTGCCCACTTAAATCGTTTTTCAAACAGAACAATTCAAAGATAGTGTGGAAATAAACTTTGACAGGCGTAACTTGTATCCACGTTCATGAGAAGATCACATGTCTTCATCTTTCTATGAGTACTTAAGGATTATGTGTAACAGGTTCGACCACAAGTTGATGTCAGTTAGAGAACCATTGGAAAATCTGGAAGCACTGGATAGTTATTTCGTCCTAGTTCTGGATTCTTCAGTAGGCCACACCTGCCAGGATTGGAATCCAGGACATTCCGGTTAACAGGCGAACTAGCTCGTAGACAATTCAGCCACTGGGACTTTATCCACTGACAAGCCGATGAATCCCGAACGTCACTAATTCGCAATATATGCATAGCACAACCGCTAACCAATATCATGGGTGAGTAATTGTTCTCTTACGTGATTTGGTGGACCCCACTGGTTACGATGTCTCACTAGAACTCCAGGTAACTACTACTCTCCTGTAGAGAGCCAGTCCCTAGTGAGCATCAGATTTAACTATCGAGTGTTGGTTTGTAGGGATTTGACTGGTAACGGGTTTGGTCACGAGTTGATATCAGAGATGTGTAAATAATTTTTGAGATATAAACAAATCTATGCGTGTGTCTGTGTGTACACAAATGCCTGATGTACAGTCATGCTGTTCTTATTATGATATCATACTTTTCAGCATTTTAAGAGCATATCTATTGTATAATTGGCAAGCAATAGAAAGTCTTAGACTTTAGATCAATCGATCTTAAGGAAATTTCAAATTAAATTTTCTATTTGTTGAGATTCATGATAAAAATATACCCGACATTTAACAAAGAAACCATAAGACCAATCAGATACTGGTGAAATTTGTCCTCGAAAAATGTATTCCGTAAGGGGTGACTGATTGTAAGTTAGAAAAGAGGCAGGAGTTGGCATGACGTAATAGGTGTGAGATAATGACTAATCGATAAGATTGTGTAGAATGGACAGGAAACAGTGGAAAGACGATGAAGTTTCTTTTATATAGAATCTGTATGAAAACGCAATGTTATCAATAAACAGTAGTTGAGTGATAATAAAATATGGATGATGGGAGTAATAATGATAATAAAATAATAATAATAAGCTTATTTAATAAAAGGAGGCAAAATCATAATGGGAACGTTACTCTGGCCACGAAGGGACGAGTGAATGTTTGTGGTGCTTTTGAATGCAGAGGTCCGAGTTCAGATCCCGAATAGCCAATGATTCAGCCATGTACGGATGGCGTTTTCGAAGTCCTTTCGTACGATACTGAGAGACTCTGTTTGGCAATGTGAAGCATTTATGCTGGGGTGCTCGATTTCCAGAGTTGATAAGGTGTTCGAGGATGGGGCTACTAGTATTCTTCTTTTCTCCTCTGGCTAGCTAGCCAAGCTGGACAGTGTTTAAGAATACATTTGTGGCTTCTTGACACGTACAAACTCACTAATTGAGGGAATGCAATTCACATTTGAATCGGAAAATGAACAAGGAGAATTAGCTATACCACTGGATTGTAAAAATAAAGCCAACTCATTCTGCTGATAGATATTTAGATTTTAATTCGTCTCCTCCCTTAACTGTAAGGCAGGCTTAATTAAGTGTCTAACAAACCGAGCATTAGCACTAAGTAGTACCAGAAAAGACCTAAACGATGAAATAAAACAGACAGAAGAAGCGTTGGTATCCAATAACTTTCCTATAAAATTCATTAGGAATATCAGGAAAGGTGAAAAGCAAAATAAAATACTGGGGAAATATCTTCTTCGGACATTTAGGAAGGTGGTTTCTAAGATCTTCTGCTTCGATGTCACCTTTGAGCTCCAGGTTCATGACGAGAGTTTTCTTAGGAACAGTTGTGATTTTTGGAGATGGAGGCTTTTCTTACATGCCTTTGTATATTAATCTTGGTGTATAGCCGTTCACTAGTAGGGTTTCAGGTGGTAAATTTAATGCTTTCTCTATCGTGTCTTCCGAACAGGTTTTTCTAGTCCTTGAACTTAGTAAACGTACCAGGTTTTGCTTTCGGATCAGTGGGACGAAGTCCTGGAAGTTATTACGTCATGCCAACTTCTGCCTCTTTTCAACTTACAGTCAGTCACCCCATCTAGGTTACACTTTACATTACGGAATACATTTTTCGAGGACAAATTTTACCAGTATATGATTGGTCTTATGATTTCTTTGTTAAATATAATTACGATTGTACAACAGCTTATGAAAATGAATCGCTAAAAAGGAAATTCTCTTCTTCACTGTTTACCTCTTTTTCTTATGACTGCTTCTCATTCAATGAGTAACACACAAGTCTGAATGTTTGCACGAATATGAGTCTACTCCAGGTTGCAGATACGCCTTGTCGACTTACAACATTTAGTCTCAAATCATCACAATGTACAACGGCGCAAAGAAATGTTGTTGTTCTAATAAACCTGACAGACAGATTTGGATCAAAATTTGGGAGTGAAGTTACACGAGTTACCGTCCAGAGTTCAGTTCATATAAACGTACACCGATAAATATGCCTATACAAACGGTCGAAAACGAACTTGCTTCCAACCATGGATTTGAACTTAGAACAAAAGTGCCATTTATAAAAAAACATAGTGGCTGTAGTGTAGCTATGGTTGATTTATTTTCCTCCTTTTTATTCCTTCACGTTCCCGTTGGAACATTGGGCTTCCAGCTAAAGGCTTGAAGTTTCTGTAGCAGTGATGACTATTTTCACAGGATGGGGTTGCTAGCCTCATGCCCAACCTTTCCTCTTTACCAGCTTTATTACTTGCTTAGCGAGGTAAAGGAGTGCGTCTGTGGCTGGGGATCGAACCCCGAATCATGTGCATGGTCAGCGAGCGTCCTAGCTACTTTGCCACTGACGCACACATTTCTATGCTTGACTTCTACAGTATTTAAATTCCAAGAGAAAATATACAAACAAATTGAGGGAGTTGCTATGGGATCGTCAATATCCCCCCAATAGTGACAGATATATTCATCATGGATAAGTGGAACAACTTAGCGATTGAAAGATTCAGCACTGCTCTCAAAGTATGTTGGAGGTGTATGTGGATGACACCACATTCATTGCACTTAAGACACAGGACACAAATAAACTTTTCAAACACATCAACTTGAAGGTAGGGACAAATCGTCAATTCACTTATCAATTGGAAAGTCAGGAAAGAGAATAAAAGTGGTGTTCAAACCCATAAATGCAACTAGGAACAAGCTTTGTCGGTTAAAGGATTCTGTGGAGCCAATTAAACAAAACAATTTGGTTTGTCTAATGTCCCTCTGGAATGATTGTCAGGTCAAATATATAGATAGGTCACAGTAATAAAATGGCGTCAGAATCGGATAAGACGAACAGCACAAAAACCTGGCAAAATCTAGATTAGTTGACTCTAATACGAAAACAAATCACTACATGCAATTACACATACAACCATACAATAGACTGGATGGGAGAAGGTGACAGTTTTAAATTCTATGATATATCTAATATACAAATTGATATAGATCGTCCGAAGTCCAGTTTGCATAAAATTTAAGGCATACAATGGACGAGATGAAGTTTTAAAAATGTTCACCAACATTCATCTTATACTGAAGTAACGATAATGAGTATAATAATTAACATCAACTTCTGGAGGATCTGTATTTCGCCCATGATGATATATGTGTGATTTCCCACAAACTGGAAGATATGCAAGTGAAAAACAACAAGTTGGCAGAAGAAGCATCCAGAGAAGATAGCACTTCCTTCAGGTGAACATAGAGAAGACAGAGGTAGGTGATGAAGATTCCTGTCCAACAGCAACAGCAACAACAAAAACAACAGACAACAATCAGCACAAATGGGAGGAGTGTGAGAGAAGCAACCTCCTTTACCTACCTACCGACCTACCTGAGAAGTATCGTCTCAACTACAGGCTGACGGAACTGATGAGGATATCAAAGCAGCGAGGATCGAGAAAGCAAAGCAAGCTTTCATGACTCTCAAGTCTGGGTGGAGGCCAGCAACACTCAGCATGAAAATGAAATGAAAGATGAGGATTTTCAACTCCAATGTGAAGTCGGTGCTGCACACTACAAGAATCAGACACTTGGCGCCGCGCCACGCCGCCTCACGAAGGGCACTTCGAACAAACTACACACCTTCACCAACAGCTGTTTTCGCTCAATACAACTCAAGATCAGATGGCCAATCATAAAAGATCAGCAACACGGATCTCGGAGGGAACCAACCCAGCAGGAACCGATTGTGCAACAAATATGCAGGATGAAATGGAGTTAGGTGGATTGGATTGGCCCTACTCTGAGAAAACAAACCATCGAGTGAGTGACATAACACGCCAGACCATCGCTCGAGTGGAACCTGAATGGGAAGAGGCGAGTGAGTTGGTCATCAGTGCAAGGGTGGCATGGAGGAGGTCATTTGAAGAGGAAATGATGAAAGCATATGGGCAGACGTGAAACCAGGTGAAAAGGTTGGCAGAGAACCTAACGCAATGCAGACATGCGGCTGAATCCCTATGTTCCTCTAGAAATTAAAGGAAGCAGTAATAATAATAATATAGTAATAATCTGGAGTAGATTGGCAGAAAAATGTAACCTGCCCGAAATCCAGATGTATTCATTTCAGGCTGTGTTCGACGAATGTGTAGTAAACTACCAACAGCCATTGCAGAAATGACAGCAAAAGCAAATCCTGTTAGCTCGATTAAATAGAATACATCGTCGAACATTTGATAAGTAATAGCTAAAATCACCTACAAGAGAAGGAGGGATAGAGAGAGAAAAATGGATGTGTACACGATAAGTAACAACAAATTTGAATTTTCAGCAATATAATTTAATTTCTAATTCGCTTTATATTCACGTCAGTATTTCCATTAATGAATTGCTCCGACTAGACAAGCAGTTTCATCATCAGTCTTCGAAGTAATAAATTTTATTCCCACTTACAAGTACTGGGGTTACAGTTTGTTCTTAGTAATTTTGTATTGATAGTAAGATTAATTTCAAGTTAATTAATTTCCCTGTTACCAGGAAATAACCTCACTACTAGGTAAAGGCACTAATAAAATGCACAGTCTTCTGAACACCTTGGACAGCAGCAATCTTCGAATGTTTAGCACGAGATTTCTACGCTTGTATCAAATGCAAAATGATGCTATAGGACTGGACTAAATTGACTCCTAGCTTAAAGATAGGGAGTGAAGTAGTAGAGCGTGTCGACCACCAATTCACTTATTTGGGGCGTTGCATCAGCTGATACCAGTGGGTTGATCACTGACGAAATCCCAGCACGCATACAGGAGGCTCGTTTGGCATTCGCCATAGTCATCAGAAGTGATTGATCATAGGTATCTGCGTTCTATCTCTCATGTTAGGTGGTATAATAGAGTGAGTGGTATTGAGGTTAGGCATCGGTTGTTTAGTAAGAAGGGGAAATCAGTCGGTGAGGTTGTGAAGCTACATCAGTGGAATTGAGGAGGAGATGTGTTACGCCTGTGTAGCCATCGCCTTCCTAAATGAGTAGTGTTAGCTGAAAGGATGAGTCCGGTAAGAAAAGCGCTGGTGGTAGTGAACCTAAAACCTGGAATCAGTTCATGAAATCCTTGATCTGTCTGTCTGTCTGGTTTCAACATAGAACTTTGCACCGATGTGCAACAGATCAAGTCGCCACACTACCTCCTTGTAGCACACAAAGCAAGAGAAGAAAGTAGAAGAAATGCATAATACAGACAGTTGTCAGGGATATGAAACACAAGGAATAGTAATGACGAAGAACAATATAGTTTCATTGGAAATTATAAGTCACTAGGAGTGCATGCATTTGCACCACCCATTCAGAACGATTTTGAGCCATATCACCAATCATCCCCAGCCTTGATTGGTGTTTACCTTCCCGAGGACCCCAACCAGTCAGGAAGTCTACACCTTCATACGTGGTTGGATTAAACTAACTGTTGTGGATTTCATTGACCGATGAGGCCATATTTTGGCTTGACCGCCGCTAGATCTTTTCCAACCTGACCCCATTTCAGCTAACAATTCCCGTCGGTCGGGGAAGGCATATGATGACTAGGCATACGTAACACATGTCCTAAGTATCACTTCAATTGATGTAATTTCACATCCTCGTCGATTGATTTCCCCTCCCTCTTTACCTAGCACTCGATTGATGCCTCACCTCGTTACTGTTACTTAATAAGCTACTTAATATCTGACGATTCGATTGATTGATTTAGTGACTACTAAGAGTGTACCATCGCCCAATTATTCAAACACGTATAATTCAGTATTACCTAAACGACACAAGTTATAAATTCATTCAATCAAATCAAGATCAAAAAGATACTGTGACTGGAAACTAACTAGTATCAGGAGTCTAGTCCTTTTGCTTTGCTGCAGACTGAATTCTATCAGTCAAGTTTGTAATGTGACCATCAACAAGCAAGGCGGGTGGTCATCAAGGTGTACTATGAGTTAATGTTACTAGATTGTTGGAGGCAATCTGCAGGAAGCCTTCCACCTAGGTTTCCTACTCGCTGGCACTCACCAGTCAGTCAGCAAGGTGTAGCTGCAACCATCTTGAAGGAACTCATGTCCCTTCTGAGATTTGAACTCACGTCTCCCAGTGAGTGCTGCAGTCAGACACGTTGCCACTGAGCTATGTGGGCTGGTGACTGACCTCCTGTAGGACTGTATTGGATGCTTTGACTTCATCAATAGAATACGGTCTGCACCGAACAAAGGAGGAGACACATTACACTAGTCACTGACTAGTGTCCAATCAAAAATATCCAATACAGTCATACAGGAGGGCAGTCACCAACCCACATAGCTCAGTGGCAACGTGTCTGACTGCAGCACTCACTGGGAGACGTGAGTTCAAATCTCAGAAGGGACATGAGTTCCTTCAAGGAGGTTGCAGATACGCCTTGCTGACTGACTGGTGAGTGCCAACAAGCACGAAACGTAGGTGGAAGACTTCCTTGCGATCACCCCTAATCATCTAATATCAAAATCAGAAAACTTCAATTACACTGAAGGCTTGCAAGTATCATGCACAAATGTTTGTTCCAGAAACAATTCACTTGTCTATAAAGTAAGTGGTGACAGAGTTTCCTAGCGTCATGATAAAATATTGACGACTAAATGCCAAACCTTGCGGAACACCACAACAAATGTCAGTTTAAATTATTTGAACAAACACCTTTCTAAAGTTCTTCATGTCGAAATACACTGTGTATTGAGAGATCTTTTACCAAACTTGAACACCTCTTTTCCATATAAAGCCTAATTTTATGCTTACAATAAGCTAGATGGACTGTTTGCAAATCAAGAGTTCATTTTCGATAAGGCATATTTCAGTACTATAGAAATAAACATAATCATGAAGATGATAATGACATCGTTTATTATCTTTATCATGAAATTCACAAACTGACGATTCCTAAGGAGAACTGGAAGACCAGAAATCACCAAAAAAATACACAATAAATATTGTATTGTTTCAACTTCAACCACAGATTGATATCAGTTAGGGGAATACTGAATATCAGGAAGTACAAGGTGGCTATCATCGACAGTATGCACCCACCATTGTGATTCGAACCCAGGGACTTCCAGTTACAAGACAAGGCTGTAGACCATTAAGCCACTGGGACGCGACCCAATGGCCAAGTGTGTGAATTCCGATTCATACCAACTCGTGATTTTGGCGCAGCTAGTTTAGCCCCAGCCTATGTCATCTATGGCGAGTATTTGTCCTCACTCCAGACCAGGTGACCCCACTCGTCATTGCTCCTCACTAGAACTACAGACAACTTCTTCCTGTAGCCAGTCAGTCACTAGTGAGCCATTAGATCAAGTTTTAGGAGTTAGTTTGTTGGGGATTTCATCCGTTTCCTCACTTTACAGATAAAAATATGTTGGTGGGCATATCTAGTTGTTGTTGTTGTTGTTGGGAATAATAGATATTGTCCCCAAATTATCATGTTCATAAGGGTGATATGTAAACACTACTTGTTGATTGTCTATCATATGACATAAATAAAAGTGTTTCGGATTTATTCATTGTACAGTTATTTTTTGTACAGTTATTTAATTGGAGATTTGCATAAACGATAAGCAGAAGTACTAATGCAACAATATACAGATTATTCAAGCTTCTTAATGGGGAGCTTGATATTCTTATTTGTGGAGGATTGGATTATGCAGAAGACAGGGAGTGGGAAGTGAGAAGACAGGAATATTTTAGACTAATAAGAAGATTTTAGATCTGGTCTTCATGGATGATCTATGTCACACAAACTAGAAGACACAGGCGAAAACCAAGTTGACAGAAGAGGCAGACGGCAAATATAGGACTTTAAGTGAATATAGAGAAAATGGAGGTTATTAAGATGCCCAGTGACCACCTCCCCCAACACCACCACCAACAACAACAACAGGCACCGATCACTATCAATGGGATCAAATGAAAAGAGGTCACTACCTTCACCGATCTAGGCATCATCCTCCCAACTGCAGGCGACAACGAGGATGAGGATGTCAAAACCAGAATCGGCAAGGCAGGATAGACCTTTATCACTCTGAAATCAGTTTGGAAACCAGCTGCACTCAGCAGATTGAAAAAAACAAGATTCGGATTTTCACACCAAAGTTAATTCAGTCATTTCTTCCATATGGATCAGAAACTTGGCTAGCGCTTCATGAGAAGCATTCCTAACAAGTCACTGAAGACTTTTATCAACAGCTTCCTATGCTGGCTGCATATTGAAGATCAAATGATTAGAGCCAAAAGGAATTGGCAAGAAGAAACCTTGGGACAAACTCATAACCCAAGAAATATCCCGAAGATAATGGAAATGGATCAGATACATGTTGAGGAGAAAGTTGGGCGACACCTCGCGCTAGGCCATCGCTTGGGTGGAACACAGGTGCGAAGCGACAATTCAGTTGACAGTGTGAGAGTGACAATGAGGGGATCGTGTAAGGAGGAAATTAGAGATTATGAGTGATCGTACGGCCAGTTGAAGAGGATTGGAGAGTAGAGGAAAAATTGGAAATGTTCTCTTGATGCCCTTATATTCCAGTCGGAACCCAAGTGGATAATAATTATAATGTTAATAATAATAATGATGAGGAGGAACCAAATGAGACGATCAAATAATGCTTTTGTTTGAAATGACTAGTATGTGAAACACAACTAACAAAAGCTACTGATACTAGTGGTATTCAACATGTCGTTAGACAATTTCAACTGGCATTCAGGAGCAACGGTCTCAATATTATCTGATTATCTTAGTAACATGCCGAATACATTTATGATGCTGTACAACTGTTATAGTATTTGATGTACTTATATCTTGAAAAAACAAACAACTAATTTAAACCGCCTGTGGATTATTTTATTCCTTTACTTTATTCCTTTGTGTTTCCAGCTTGAGATCTGAAGTTTAGGTAGCGGAGGTATTATTTTTATGTGGTGGGGTTGCTAGCCTCATTCACGTCAAACCTTCCCACTTTATCGTCTTTACTATCGGGTCAGATAGTGAGTCGGCGGCCAGAGATCGAACCCTAGACCATGTGAGTGGTTGGAGAGCATCCTATTGCTGAGCCACTGACGCACCCGCCAGTTAATTACATAACCCTATTATCTTACTGGATAAAGAAAAGTCACAAGTGAGCTTACTTCGAAGATGAAGATGACGACAGAACACTCAATGACACAATACCACTTTATACATATATATATATATATATATTAATCCTTGTATATGAAGTTACTTGTATAACTTTGACAAATAAAACCTAAATACAGAAATTTCTAAGCGTTTAGGCTCAGTACTTGTGTTAAGAAGGGGAAGTGTATGTGAAACACACTCCAAAGTATACTTACCACAGATAACACTGATGGAATTGGAGTTAGACGTTCAATGTTAACCATTGAAAGTAGGGCAGGCATATGTCCTTCCTCTCCAGCAGTAAATGCCAATCTAAAATTAAGATTATTTATTCGTTTCAAAAACATAAAATTGGCACAATATAGGCACCAAGAGATGCACCACATAACAAATATCATATACATATAGAAAAAATAAGCAGAGAATAAATGTGGGATGTTATCCAGAAACCAAGAAAGCCTATTTGTCAAGATCAAGTCATATCTGATAACATTTCGATCCCGACCGGGGAGTTGTGATGTGCCAAATGATGTTAATCTAACACAAATATCCTTCATCATACGACGCCACGTCATAGGCTGACAACCGCTTACCTTTTTCCATCCAGTCCCAGGAGTGGCGAACGGAGATCGGTACGAAAGCCTCTGGGATGACATTCGTGGAGAGCCGCTGAAGCCGGTGTTTCCAGTGACGAAATTCAATGAATGGTAATCTCTGCCTTGCCAAAGCACATGCCTTCGGACCTCAATATTACTCACGCGATAATGCCATCGAATGCAGACAATTCTACGGAGACAGAGATGATCGAATACGCAGAGAGTCCAGGTTTGACAGGCATAGAGCAAGATTGCGCTCACCCAAGTATTGTAAACCCTACTTTTGGCAATCAGGCTGAAGTTCAAACAGCCTCAGAGGTGGCTCAAATAGTCGTATGCCATCCTAGCCATTACTATGCAATTAGAAATCTCGTGCGTCACACCTCCGCCAGCACTCAAACAGTTACCTAGATATACGAACTTGTCGATAACTTCAAGCGGCTCACCTGCAAGGATGAGTGCAGGTACAGGCTTCAGCCAATGTTGCAAAAGAACTTTGCACTTAGACGGCGTATATCTATGACCGGTATTTAAACTTGAATTTCTCAGAACTAATACAGGAAAACTCCCAGGTTATTACAAGGTGTAATTCCAGGTTCAACAAGGTTATCCCAAATATTTCATTACAAAATCCATGAAGCCTGAACCACTAAAACCACCCACACTTTCTGCTCCAAAAGTACTTCTCTTCCTGAAGCTACTATTCAGCGGGGACTCATCGGCAGAAATACTGAGAAACCACCTAACTGAAAATAAACTTCCCTCGAGGCTGAACTTAGATTAACTTACTCCACAACACCAATCATTCACATGAACGTGAAGGATAAGCTACCACTGCTGACCTCTTCAACGTGTATCTATCAATTCACCTGCTCGTGAGAAGCTGGGTATATCGGTAGTACCCAGCGTTTGCTATCCAAGCGTATCATCGAACACTTACCCTCATGGCTTTATAAAGGAAAAATGGGTCACCCCACCACCACAACTCTATCCTGGGACACCTGATCGGATCTAGACACCAAGCTAACCCACAGAGGAACTTCAAAGTTATTTACAGAATACGAGGGAATCTTGCTAGAAGAGTATACATCAAACTTCTTGAAACCGTAGAATCGATGGCAATCCACATGTTAAATACCGAACTCTGCATAAAGAAGAAGTTTGTTCAGTGTCACAACACCTACAATGGACTCGATATGTCTGAACACTGAAGAATGTAATCTTCCCTCACCCTCTGTTAAATTTCTATTCCTTGATACCACCATTGTTAGCCTGACTCTCGTTCAATTTAAGGTTGAATTCTACTCAAATAATGATATAACCTTATGGATGACAATTTTTTCAAATGAAACGACTCAGATTGATATGTACCCCTCCCAATTTTAACGTGATTGAGACGAAAGATGCCCTAGTTGTTATATCCAATCCAAAAACAACCTTTCATATGCCACATTTTTTTATTTCTTTACGTTCCCAGTGGAACATAGGGCTTCTAGCTAGAGGCTCAAAGTTTCGGTAGCAGTGGCGTTTATTTTTACGGGATGGAGTTGCTAGCCTCATGCCCAGCCTAACCTACCCTCTTTACCAGTCTTATTACTGGCTTAGCGAGGTAAGGGGGTGAGTCGGCGTGATTGGAAAGCATCCTACCACTAGACCACCGAAGCACCGGTGCGTCACATAATATATGGTTTTGATTTTATATTGTAAAGTGAAACTTTCATGTTTGCATATTCACAGTTCACGTTATGATATTAGTTACTGAAGATGGGCATTACATAGAAATCAGATGCAAACTTAAGTGTTTAACGTCTAACATCCAAATGAGTTATACTCACATGAATCAAGCAGTAAACTTGAGAATTTAAAAAGCAAAAAACCATATAGCTGTCAAGTTCTAATTGCTGGTGAACGTCTAATGGTCACCAGTGTGTTCTGTCACAAGCAAGTTGAGTTAAACAAAACCTGTGATATCTTTAGTAGTAATTAGGTTCCATAGGTATGGATTCAGTAGTGACTTGTATGACTGGTAAAATGATGACAGAATAACTATGTGCCCAACCCTTTACATACTGTATTTTCTTTCAAGTGGAACGCAAAACAAAAAAATATCACGAATAACTTACCGAGAAATGGAAAATACTTCACCGTTTATACTTCCGAACACAGAGGCGCCCACGAGAGCCGGCATTACCAAGCCAAAGGAACCCATACATCTTGTTGCGAAACTCTGTTAAGTTTATAATCAAAACAAACAATTGATTTTTGACTGAAATTGAATAGATGTTTTACGTGGATACAATGTTAAAAACTCAATCTAGCAGAAAAAGTGTTTAGCTTCTCGTGAGCTTACGGCGAGTTGTCATCTGAAGTGGTGACAGTTAGTGGCGTCTGTCAAGGATGCCGACCATCCCCATTTCTATTCAATTTCATCATAGATGTACTAATGGACTTAACCCTAACTAACTTCAGCGACTCACGGATTGACTTGTTACGTCAAGGAATAATCTCGTTGACTTAGAATATGCAGATGATATAGTCCTTCTAGGTGAAGACGTTGACAAAATGCAGAGTCTTCTGAACACCTTGAGCTGTAGTCTACGAATGTTTGGCATGCGAGTCGCTCCCGCCAAATGTAAAATGATGCTACAGGAGTGGAATACATTGACTCCTGTCTTAGGTATAGGGAGGGAAGTGGTAGAGCGTGTTAACCATAGGGCTGATCGTTGATGAAATCTCAGCACGGATACACAAGGCTAGTTTCGCATATGCCAGTTTACGCCGTCTCTGGATGAGTAGACGTGATATCCGGCTGGCTATCGACCAAAGGGCGTGTGTACTGCTCAGCAGTCCGCTCCGTCCTCCTTTATGGCTGTGAGACCTGGCCATTGAGAGTGGAAGAGATGAAAAGCATGGCTAGCTGTCTTTGAACATAAGTGACTGCGTTCTCTCTCCTGTGTGTGGTGAGTGGTATAATAAGGTGAGCAGTAATGAGGTGAGGCATCAATCGAGTGCTAGGTAAGGAAAGAAGGGAAATCAATCGACGAGGCTGTGAAATTACATCAATTGAAGTGATACTTAGGACATGTGTTACGTATGCCTAGTCATCGTCTGCCTTCCTCGACCGACGGAAAATGTTAGCTGATATAGGGTCAGCGGCAGTCAAACCAAAACATGGCCTCATCAACAACAGTTAGTTTAATCCAGCCACGTATGAAAGTGGCGACTTCCTGACTGGTTGGGGTCCTCGGGACGGTAAACATCAATGAAGGCTGGAGATGATTGGTGATATGGCTCAAAATCGTTCTGAATGGGTGGCGCAGATGCATCCACTCCTTGTGACTTATAATTTCCAATGAAACTATATTGTTCTTCCTTATTACTATTTCTTGTGTTTCATATCCCTGACAACTGTCTCTATTATGCATTTCTTATATTTTCTTCTCTTGCTTTGTGTGCTGCAAGGAGGTAGTGTAGCGACTTGAGCTGTTGCACATCGGTGCAAAGTTCTATGTTGAAAACAAACAGACAGGTTCTTACGAAAAAAATACTTACATGTGCCCTCATGTTTTTCTAGTAGTTTACATGATTGACAAGTTGTTCATTGGCACTAATGGGAGTCCTGTCGAAAGCTTTTGAGAAATATACAGCGTTTCAAGGTTGAGTGCTTTTCTAATGTATATTTGTAGCACCAGCAGTCAGAAGTTAATTTTTAAGATCGTTAAGCATTGTTCGAAGTGGTCTGGGAGGATTTTCAACCAACTATGTCTCTTCACATTGTGCTACATGTTATCTGATTTCCTGTAGGGCAGGCTCAAGTGGCTGTTTGAATCAAAGTGAAGTCACCCAGATATTATGTACACTACTTTTGTCTGCATGTCTATTTTGAAATAGTTATTAGATTGGTATATCATCCAACAAACAAGTTTTCAAGTGAAGTTTTTGCTTATCTTCAAACAGCTGTGGGTATTTTAAGACTTCGTTTCAACTACAGGTAACAGCACAGATGAGGAAGTCAAAACCAGCGAAAATTGGAAAGGCAAAACAGACCTCCATCACTCTAAAATTACTGTGGAAATCTGCACTCAGCATAAAGAAAAAACAAATCAGATTTTCATCACGAATATTAGGTCAGTCAGTTCTTCTATGTGGCTCAGAAACTTGGCGAATGAGTCACGAAAAGCATTTACAACAGCATGTCTGCAGACTTTTATCAGTAGCTGTCTTCGCTCTATATAAGATTGTTGGAAAGAATAAGAAACAAGGACCTTTCGGAATGGAAAAATCAAGGTCCTATTCCTCAATAAATGTTTCGAAGAAAATGGAGATGGATCGGATACATGGTGAAGAGACTGACTGTTGGGTGACATCGTGCATCAGGCCACCACTCGAGTGTGGCTCAAATGGGAGACGAGAAGTCGGACATGTGCCCGAATATGACATCGAGGAGATGAGCGATTGTAGGACCAGCTAAACAGAACCACAGGGAATACGATAAAGAGAAGACAGTAATAATAATAGTCTGAAAATGTACTTCAATACCAATGACTTTTTGATAAGAGTCGAGTACAACACTGAATGAAATTGAACAGTTATGACAACTCACCACAGCTATAGCAGCAGATCCATCACCTGAAGCGAGAACTTCTGTAGGTGATAATACTGCAAGGTAGGCTACATTAGTTAAAATGTATATGAGTGTAACTGTTGTAAGCGAGAGGACAATCACAATTGGAAGAGTCCTGGGTATAAAAGAAATAAATATATTAGTTTACACTGTTTAGTAATTACGCGATCAGTACACTGAAACTGAACTTCACCCGTATAGATACTATGTCACAAACTAATGACTATGGATTTGAACTCACTGCCTAGTTTGGCATGAGTGATAGTCACATATTGTGGTGGTGTGATACAGACAATGTGTGCCTACGCAATATTATTCTCGCATATTTCCACAGCTCAATACAGCATTAGCAGTAGAATACGATATATCTATTTGAGCATTCTGTTTGATGTTAGAGTCAGAATACTTTCACACAGTTCAATAATGCATTGGCAACAGAATACTATGTATATATGAAGATTCTATTTCATGTCGTTTAATGTAAACCAAAATCACACACTCAGTGATTGGTTAAGGAATATAAACTGTAGATAAATAAAGAGCGGTTTGATCAATGGAAAATATACTTGGCTTCCATGTTTTTTCTTCTGTTGTTACAATATGACAGAAAATTATTTACATAGCGGATCAGTGGCTTATGCATTATGAGTTCGGACGCCACTGTGTGTCAGTGGCACAGCGGTTAGGAAGCTCACCAACCATGAATATGGTCTGGGTTCAACCCGGGGCACAGACGCACTCCCTTACCTCGCTAAGCCAGAATTGAAAGCTGGTAAAGAGGGAACGTTGGGCCGGGCGTGAGGCTAGCAACCTCATCCTGTAAAAATAATCACCACTGCTACCGAAACTTCGAGCCTCTAGCTTGAAGCCCCATGTTCCACTGGGAACGTAAAGGAATAAGAAGACGTCACTTGAACTACTGAGGTTTAGGCGGTCTAGTAGTGTCGTCAGACCACATACAATAGGTACAAGTCAAAGCACTACAACTGGTTATACAGAAAAATTTAGTTTTGATATACATATATAACAGTATCCAAAGGATACTCCTCCACATTGACTTTATACTCCATTTCTCCTCAAAGAATACTACCCAGGTTTAAAGTGTAGAGATATTAATAAATGCAAGTGAAAACAAAAATTATTTCTCACATGGAAACATTTGCTATATATGGCAGTGCATTTACACATTATTATTACAAGCTCGAAACTTAAAACAGTTCTAAGTAAGGTTATCTGGTATATATTTTCACAGACATATTGCAAGAAGATGGCACAACTTAGAATGCCTATTTAGACATGTTCGTGTTTGTTTGTACGTCGTTACAAAAACACCTAATGCGATTATTTTACCTTAGTGTTCAGGATTTCAAAATATACTTTTACCATGGTCTGCATAACCTTAAGCAACACATCCTAGTTAAAAATGAATTAGTAGTTTAAACATATTGGAGATGAGAGACAATACTCAAGTGTAATGTGCAGCTCGGAAAAAGCTGAACCAAACAGAGCTATTTTAAAACTCTTTATTCCTATTTAACCAAAATACTGTTTTGGGTAATTCCAACTGTCTTATAGTGGCCATTGTACAACAACACTAACTCTATCTTCATAAATCGTAGGTAAATGTTCACCCGAGTATCTCCCATTCTGTATATTTTATATCATTATAAATAAGTACAAATTAGATCTTACATGAGAATCTAATAATAGCTGAGGGTAAACGGTTCCCATTCAGTGGTATATACATATTCTCTGATTACGTATTCAGGCTTACAAAACACACAGAGGATAAAATGAGAAAAAATTACCTTGCAGGATTTTTTACTTCCCCAGTTAGGAAATTGAGATAATTCCTGAAACCAAAAACACGGAAGCTGGAGTTTAAAGTTGGTTAATTTTTTCTGTTTACGAAACATAATAAAAGTGAAACAGGGCTGTACGACGAAACGCTAGATTCATCTGAGATAAACCCAACATAGGCTATTTTAACAGTCTGTTATAAGTCTTATGAATTAACTAAATGATGGTAAAATGGTTATATGGGCACCAGAAGGGACCGATTAGTTTCAGAAATTGAGAAAGCACCATAGCTCTATACAGTTCATATGACGAACTCATATGTATACACATTTAATGGATTCAAAGTACAAGGTAATCATAAACGACAACCCTACATTACAAAAGACTAAATATGACTGCCAAAAAACATTTAATTTCTTGAAGGAAAATACTACAGAAACTGAGTATCTTTGTGTTCAGAGGAGTGTGTAGCAGTAGATAATTCCCCAGAATGTATAAAGTATTTAGACTATCTAACCTTCCTGATTATAGTCACTGTCCACAAATGATTTTACTTTTTCATTTGTATATTATTAACTACCATTAATTAAGCCTTCGCTAATACACAGGAGTCTGCTGAGTCATCAATGCATATTAATAATAATAATTATTATATCTTTTGTTCTTGATTCTCGCAGCGAATTCAACAACTGGCACACGCACACATACAATTCTAAAACTCTTTATCCAGATATAAGATGGGAAGTAATCAACAGTAGGAGAATAAAAGTCTTTCACTTTTCAATAAACGAAAAGTAAATAACCGCTTAAAAGTGTTCCGAAGAGGGCCATGTTAATGAATTAGATAATTTCTGCTTGTTTGCATGCCACCACCAAGTGTATACGCTTTAATACAAATTATGTTGAGAAACTCAAGTGAACAGATAAACGTATGAATATTTACATCAGCGCGTTAATATAGGTTGCTTAACTTCAAAATATTATGCAGAAGAATAGCTTAACATATAGAGTGATAGTATAATAACAATATTTTTGACAAATTATCGTATTTTCAGCATTTCACATTGCAACGTATTTACTACTTGTAAAAATACCTTCCAGAGGAATAACTTCTGGATAAAGTTACGCTAATAACAATATTGATGTGTGTAATAGTACATTAGTGACTACAAGAACAGAATAGCTGTTTATTTTATGCAGAAACAGAGCTCCTAGACTTATGCAAGTTATTTGAAAGACAAATATATGACAATGTTTTATTCCTTGCACCACTGTTAAAAAAGGGCTAAATGTCAGACCTCTCACAGTATAAATTTCAGAACTGATTACTCTGCACAGCTTTTGCATGTGCAAACGCACATCTCAAAATGATATGTCAAAGCCGCAATATTTAAAAATGCGAAACCATGGCTATCTCCAAAACGCTTAAAAATACTACAGAAATTTTGAAGTAGAGATTTGAACTGAGTGTCACACATATTCAAAGGCATTCACCCTACTAAAATTCTAATATACCTCAGGTATTGTTTAAACACGTACAGTACAAATTAAGTCAGACTACATTTTCAAAAACAGTCGAATGAAATTCTTCTACCGCCAGTATAGATGAAGGTAATATTACTATTCACACAACCTATACGGTTACTACACTGCATAGTAGTTGCAACATGTTCCTAATAACGATAAACAAGTAACTTCTGAAACTGGGTTCAGCGGGAACATACGGCAAAGAAATAATAACTTACCAACCAGAAAAAGCCCAAAATCCTTGATAAAATGCCAGTGCAAGCGCTCCTGGTGACGTTTCACTATCTTCGAACGAATTCTTAAAACTCTCCGTGTTACCTTATCAAAATAAAGAGGTACCAGTCAAGTGGTGAAACTGTCCTTTATTCCAAAACAGTGTCAAACCATAGTGAACTTACCTATAGCTAAGTAGTAGCCGCCAAACCCAATAATAAGCAATAGAGCTGCTACTTTGCAAGTAGTGAAGACGACTGCAATTTTCGTTGCCCACTTAACACTAAAGCAGTGTATGAAACAAAGTGTTACTTTATAACAGTAACATTACAAATGAAAAACTCACGAATCCCCAAAACTGCAACAAGTCGAACAGCATAAGTGGGAGTATTGCAACTAAGGAATGCTGGCCGGAGAATATACTCTGCAAAGATAAGTCCATTTGCAGCACAACTGGCGGATCCAATCACTACGAATGTGATCCAGAAAGCAAGAAAGGCGGGCAAGGGTCCAAATGTCTGGAGGATGTAAATATATTCTCCACCAGATCGAGGAATCGTGACTCCTAACTCGGCGTACACAATTGCGCCTATGTAGAAATGAATTTCTGAAACACAAACTCACCAAGAGTGCTGAATAGCCCTGTCACGGACCACAAAATAAAAGACAATCCGACAGACTTAGTATATGTTAAAACTCCAACTGGTGATACGAAAATTCCAGAACCAATTATCACTCCAACAACAATGCTGACACCTTGTAATACAGAAACTTCTTTTTTTAGTGTTACTGACTGGTTTTGATCAGCATCTTTTTTCTTCTTATTGAACAAACCCATCGTGTGTGACGGCACGAAAACAAGTGCAGCAAGTTCAAAATGTTCACGCGAGAAAGTGAGATTTCAAAACTATCATTGGTTGAATATTCAATATCTGGCGTCATATCGAATCATTTTAAGAAGAACAGAAGAATGTATGTAAACATTTCTGTTCTAATTATTTCAATAGGGATTTTGTGGTAATCAACATGCACTGGTTACATATGCTGATGTAAACAAACCACCCTCTTCATTCACAACTCTCCCCTTGCATCTCATCAGGCAGAACCAGAAGCCTATATAGAAAACTATATGTTCGCACTAGCAAGTACGAAAACCCAACCATACCCTACTTAGCTCGTTTTCTGTGCCATAAAAAAAGCATTAGGCGTGATACCTATACCTTATTAAATAGTCAGTAGAACAACTGGATCTCGTCTTTCCAACTCATATCATTTATAGGTACAACGTTTTCTTTCTTTCTTTTCCTTTTCTCTCTCTTTTTTCTGTTATGTGCTGTTTTGTTTCTTTCTTCCTTACAAACTCTATTTAAAACATTCTTCTTCGTTCTTTCGCACTCTGTATATCTCTACCTTTTTGTTACAGCTTACGCCATTAAATATGCTAGCATCCACTTTTCTAACACCTTCAAACACTCTGTTCAATTTTGGCTTTGCTACCGACATGCCAATATGTTGTTGTCAAAACTAACTGAGATTACCCTTAATCTATGTAGAATTTTATTTATTCTTAATGTACTAACTGGATGCAATACTGTAGTAAACAAAATGCTGAGAATTCCATTCTGTATCAAAAGTACTGTTTTGGAATAAAGCAAATTATTATTTTATGTAACATCAGTTATTCAAAAGCTGCATGTATAATATTCCGTGTCATCACAAAACTGATGGGAATGGAACCTTAATATTGCTGATCCTCAGTGGTGTAACTATATGTGCAAGCTAATCGATAGGTATTCGTCTAATTTTTGATCGACAGCTTAGGCAGTTAGAAAACTAGGCTCCACATCATGATCTCAAGAGGGATACGGTAGACATTTTCGGGGTACTGTTGCCTTCAGAATGAATTACATCTTGTGTACAAGTTTAAAACCTGCGTGGAGATTTCCGGCATTTGCTTTTAAGGAGGGTACCAGTTAACAGCTAGTTACCGCAACTTAATTTTAATGCCCTTTGACTATGCAGGTTACGCCGAGAATAATACAAAGAGTGCGTACAGAACAATTTCAGCTCCTCCTGGGAGGGTGAGGACTTGTCAGTCGAACAACCTGGAAGTGATTGAACTAACCATCAAAAAGTAAGCTCGATAAAAGCAGACATAGTCAAAATTCCCACCGAAAGAAATGTGTTTTCTGCAGGCAGTTGTGTAAGTAGAAACACTTCAGATCAAGTTTCTTACTTTCACCATATGCAAGACATTCTGCCACGTTGTTGTCAATGTATTCATAGTTTTGTGACACACTCCGGAATCAAATTTGGAGCCCTTACTTGCAGCACGATGTGACGTTAAGGCGAAATTTGTCAGCAGTAGGAATGATGTTACCTTCAGTTCTGTATGGTTTAAAATACCTTTTGAATGAAGATAAATTCCTTTAAATAGCACTAGGCTCTTTTCAGGAGCACGAAGCAGGAACATGCAAGATTTCATTGGGTTTCAAACTCCATACCAAAAAACTGATTTGTAGATAGTGAAAATTGGAGTGACTAAAAGACAGTACGGTGATGGATGTGAGCTGCCCTGCCTGCATGTTCACCAAATTTCTGCACATGTGAAAAAGTCTCTTTTCGTCTGTAGGCACCGGGTTATTAATAAACTCCTAGTCCAGGCGAAATGTGTTCTCAATCAACACACAACAGTAGTCTGTTGAGTCTTATCTAGCTCAGTGCATTTACATTTGTCACTAAAGAGTTCCGCTTTCGTAGTGCCGGGGTGCTTAGTGTTCAGTCAGTGGGAAATATAAATGCTGTGGCTGAGGAGAGTATAGAGGACTTCGGAGCAATTTACTTATTGTCTTTAGTTAGGAATAACGCCAGGAGTTATTCTGCTGTCTGCGATTCACCACCGGGTTTCTGTAAACTGTCGTAAATCACTGCTTTTGAATGACAAACGAGGGAGTTTCTCCCCATGTCAACGTACGTCTTCTAGGTTGAGAGATGGGCACGAATTCAGTAGCAGCATTTACAGGTGAATGTGGTCGACCGAAAGACCTCCATATTTCGAGTCTTCATTACGCATCGATCGTGTAATGTAGAATAAATGAATATTCAGCATTCACTTAGGATGAATGAGAACTAAAGGAATACTGAAGAAGTTGAATTTACCAAAATTAGCCTATTTTGTCATACATAGGTGGAAGCGATTTAGATGACGCGTGTTGAGGTCATGAATTTCAGTTTGCTTGTCCCAGTTCATGTAATAATAATAATAATAATGATACATTCCCACTTTATGTACATGAGGGACGCCAGTTTACAGGCATCATCAGTATGATAATTAACATATACATGGAGTAAGCATATTTACAATTTTTCACTAACACAGGATATATATACAAGAAAAGGTAATAGAATGATGTCAGTACGCACAATTTACAGAGGTTCAGACAATATGCATGATATAATCCTAGGCACCATTGTTGCTTGAATTTGTCAGAAATGCGCGCCACAACTGAAGTTTGCGTTGCATGTAGTCGATGTGTAACGGCAGAAGACAAGGGCCAGGCAACAGATCGTTTATTGTTAAAATGAAGCAATATTTATAGATTTTTATGTGCATTATTATTAGTAATGGTTAGCAGAGAGGCGACGTCTTCTGATTGGTTGTTTTCCAGCCGAAGGTTGTTCTTTCATCTCTTTGTTGCCTTTAACTCAAATAGTCCGTCGATGTATCTGCTAATCGTATCCGCCCATGCTAAGCCTCAAGTTTAGCCTTGTTCCTCTTTTCTTTCCTGACTAATTTTGGCTTTCAGACAGCTTTCCCCACAGATATGGTGTGCTATTCACAAAAGTATAAGAATGGCTTGTTAAACGTTAGTTAGTTCACCAACAACAGTGTTTTCAGCAACATCATATGCAAGAGGCTAACCACAGCAGTTACCATCCATTTTAAAATGCAAATAAGTATTAATGAATCAGTGTAATCAGCAACCGGTGAATTTTTCGGTTCATTTCGGTCAGAAACCAAAATGACTGCGAATCAATCCATACAAAGTTTGAGTTGCACCGACTGGAGTATTGGACTTATATAGTTCCTCGTCACAATGGAGGAAATATCACCACATTCTTTTTGGAGAGTAGACTAGTTGGGGGATCATAAATAATGTCTGAGTAACTTATACCTTTCCATATGACATTGTAGTAAGTTTCGACCTTGTTTTCTCATGTTTCATTTGTGTGTCTGTTTTGTTTCACCCTTTGCATCGGGTGGACATTATAGAAACGACTCTTATTTGTTTGGGTGCTTTTGTCATGAATGCTGCTTTTCTGCCTGAAATTATAAACAGAGGTAAAATGAACAGCGGGTGTAGTCTCTAAGTTCATACATAAAATGGGCCTATGACTCCTGAAGCTCTTGAATGGGAATTGGCACTGGGATCACTTGAAAACTCTCTTAGTGTGTCATTAAATACCTTTGCAAAGGAGGCCAATATGCTTGCCGGCCGCATTTCCGCAGATAGTTTGTTCCATATTTAGGCATATCTAATCGGGAAAATCTTTTGCCTGGTGTCTATTTTACATTTTTCAACAGCCACTGTACCTTTATTGTGTCTAGGGTTATATCCAATATCGTCTGAAAACTGAGTACCATTAGTAGGTGTGTACACTTTATGGTTAAGAAGCCTACAGAAGAGTACTAAATCTAGTCGCAGTCGTCCTAACCATAGTGTTTCTAGTCCTACGATCTCATATCTGGTGGAGTAGCTTGTGCCGTTTTCGGTTGCGAGTACTTTTAGCGTGAAGTGCCCCTGTATTCCTTCCATTGATGTAACGTGAACATTCACGATAGTGCAAACCGTTTGATTTAGTAAAGTTCCGGAGGTCGTCTTTGAATGATGAAGAAACAGCATCAGTGCATTACGGAATTATCCTCAATTATATAGAAAATGAAAGTGGGGGGAATAAATATGCATAAACCTATCACAGAATCGGGATTGGAAGAGGGGATGAGAAGTTAATTTAAAATGTCTACGATTCAATTCTTGCGTTTCGAAGTTATAAAAACACTTAAGCCACCAGGATGGCTTGAAGATAAAAAAAGTTTAGGAATCCCTTGCACACCTTCATAGAGTGTTCTAAACATGTGTTATGTACCTCAAGTTCGAAACCTTCGCAATGCTTTTGAAATGCTACTATGTTCATTTGTAATAGCCAGGTTAATATGTGGTACATTATATTTGTATTTGGAAACCTTGCTGCAACCATAATATTTGTAGCGGCAGAAGACAAGGGCCAGGCAACAGATCGTTTATTGATGAAATCAAGAGATATTTATAGATTTTATGTGCATTATTACAAGCGTTACTGTTATCGGAGAAGAAACGTCTTCTGATTGGTTGTATTCTTGTTGAAGGATATTCTATGCTGCTTGTGACGGTTTCTCTGTAAGTTAGCCATATATCTGCCAAACGCATATACGTACGTTAAGTCTGCTGTGATCTGCTGGTGATTTTCTCGAGTTTAAGCTTTGTTGTTGTTTTCCTCATGACCTCGATTCGGGACGCTAACATTGACGTTAATTGTTGTCTATAATTTTGGCTTGCGGACAGTTATCACCACATGATTACTTTATAGTATGATTTCGTGCAGATGCTGTTCGGTCCTCTAAGTGCTGTGTAAAAATATCAAGGGTAAACTTGCCACCTACATCCTGCCATCGGTGAAAGCACACATAACTGCCTTAGTAATCCTCTGTCTTGATTCAGACAACTGCGAAGACTGGGTGAAGGGAATATCGAAACTGAAAGATAAAAGAACGTTGGGCAGTTAGGGCAGATGAATTTAAATAGTGAAACAATGCGCTTTACACGATTTATCAGTAAAAGTAAACTGACCATTTAGTCCACGAGCGTTATCCATAGCCTATCCCATCCGCACAACTCTCGTTTCTATCGTTGACTAGTGTCAGGATGCAATGGCTTTATTGAATATCCCCGCCAAGTGTAGCATCGAAGTTCGTAGCTTCAGTGGTTCTCTGAGTTACATTTTTGTATGCTTCTTAAAGATAACTCTGCGTTAAACATTTTTTCGGCTTGCATGTTATCGGTGGCACTGTATTCTTGAATTGTATTACATTTGCTTCACTAGTCAGAAAACATTACTTTATCCTGATGTCTGTGATATAATAGGTAGAAGGAGGCAGTACGTTCAAAAGTCAGACGCATGTCACTGAATTCTCTCGAAATCATGCTGGTTTATTTTGGCCTACTTATTGAAACACCCTACAACCCACCGGATAGGGGTGGCACCACTTCAAAAAAGGGAGATGACATATAATCACCCACCGGGAGGCACGCACTTTATGTGACCCGTAATTCATTTTCTGATTGAAAACACCTCAATTAGCCACACATATTACATGAATGTCACTTGACAAAAGTGTCTAAACATGACTGTTGAAAAGTATGCGCTACAGTCGTTTCACAATTTTAATACTACCCATGAGCCTGTACAATGTTTATGCAGTGTACTCCGTCTCTAAGCTATATATTCCTCGAATGTGACTGTATTCCCACTGAGTGAACCTGTATGTCCAATTAGGGAATTTTAAGGCTTCTCATATAATCAAAACCCACACGAAATGCAATTAACTGAATCCGCACGGCAAACTAGCTGTTGTACACATCTATATATTCATCCATATGTTGATCGTGATGACAAGTCCAAATCACTACCTAAACAGTGCCGATAAACATGGATATCTAAGAAGTAATGCTGACAGCTGCGTTCCGAATCCCACTGACCTGCTCCATGGCAATATTCTGCCTCCACATGCTTCATTTAAAATTTTGTATGGATTGATTCGCCTCTCTGCTAACCATTACTAATAATAATGCACATAAAAATCTATAAATATTGCTTGATTTTAACAGTAAACGATCTGTTGCCTGGCCCTTGTCTTCTGCCGTTACACGTCGACTACATGCAACGCAACCTTCAGTTGTTGCGCGCATTTCTGACAAATTCAAGCAACAATGGTGCCTAGGACTATATCATGCAAATTGTCTGAGCCTCTGTAAATTGTGCTTACTGACATCATTCCATTACCTTTTCTTGTATATATATCCTGTGTTAGTGAAAAATTGTAAATATGCTTACTCCATGTATATGTTAATTATCGTACTGATGATGCCTGTAAACTGGCGTCCCTCACGTACATAAAGTGGGAATATATCATTGTTATTATTACATGAATTGTGACAAATAAACTGCAGTTCATTGTCTCAACACGCGTCATCTATATCGCTTCCACCTATGTATGACAAAATAAGCTAATTCGGCAAATTTACCTTCTTTAGTATTCCTTTAATTCTCATTCATCTAAGGTGAATGCCGAATATTCAGTTATTCTACATTACACTGTCGATACGTAATGAAGACTCGAAATATGGAGGTCTTTTGGTCGACCACATTCACTTGTAAATGCTGCTACTGAATTCGTGCCCATCTCTCAACCTAGAAGACGTACGTTGACATGGGGAGAAACTCCCTCGTTTGTCATTCAAAAGCAGTGATTTACGACAGTTTACAGAAACCCGGTGGTGAATCGCAGACAGCAGAATAACACCTGGCGTTATTCCTAACTAAAGACAACAAGTAAATTGCTTCGAAGTCCTCTAGGCTATTAAATGGACAGGACTCTCCTCAGCCACAGCATTTTCACACTGATTGAACACTAAGCACCCCGGGACTACGAAAGCGGAACTCTTTAGTGACAAATGTAAATGCACTGAGCTAGATAAGACTCAACAGACTACTGTTGTGTGTTGATTGAGAACACATTTCGAGTTTATTAATAACCCGGTGCCTACAGACGAAAAGAGACTTTTTCACATGTGCAGAAATTTGGTGAACATGCAGGCAGGGCAGCTCACATCCATCACCGTACTGTCTTTTAGTCACTCCGATTTTCACTATCTACAAATCAGTCTTTTGGTATGGAGTTTGAAACCCAATGAAATCTTGCATGTTCCTGCTTCGTGCTCCTGAAAAGAGTCTAGTGCTATTTAAAGGAATTTATCTTCATTCAAAAGGTATTTTAAACCATACAGAACTGAAGGTAACATCATTCCTACTGCTGACAAATTTCGCCTTAACGTCACATCGTGCTGCAAGTAAGGGCTCCAAATTTGATTCCGGAGTGTGTCACAAAACTATGAATACATTGACAACAACGTGGCAGAATGTCTTGCATATGGTGAAAGTAAGAAACTTGATCTGAAGTGTTTCTACTTACACAACTGCCTGCAGAAAACACATTTCTTTCGGTGGGAATTTTGACTATGTCTGCTTTTATCGAGCTTACTTTTTGATGGTTAGTTCAATCACTTCCAGATTGTTCAACTGACAAGTCCTCACCCTCCCAGGAGGAGCTGAAATTGTTCTGTACGCACTCTTTGTATTATTCTCGACGTAACCTGCATAGTCAAAGGGCATTGAAATTAAGTTGCGGTAACTAGCTGTTAACTGGTACCCTCCTTAAAAGCAAATGCCGGAAACTTGTACACAAGATGTAATTCATTCTGAAGGCAACAGTACCCTGAAAATGTTTACCGTATCCCTTTTGAGATCATGATGTGGAGAAGGTATTTTCCAAAAACCTAAGAGACAAGCCTAGTTTTCTAACTGCCTAAGCTATCGATCAAAAATTAGACGAATACCTATCGATTAGCTTGCACATATAGTTACACCACTGAGGATCAGCAATATTAAGGTTCCATTCCCATCAGTTTTGTGATGACATGGAATATTATACATGCAGCTTTTGAATAACTGATGTTACATAAAATAATAATAATTTGCTTCATTCCCAAACAGTACTTTTGATATAGAATGGAATTCTCAGCATTTTACTACAGTATTGCATCCAGTTAGTACATTAAGAATAAATAAAATTCTACATAGATTAAGGGTAATCTCAGTTAGTTTTGACAACAACATATTGGCATGTCGGTAGCAAAGCCAAAATTGAACAGAGTGTTTGAAGGTGTTAGAAAAGTGGATGCTAGCATATTTAATGGCGTCAGCAGTAACAAAAAGGTAGAGATATACAGAGTGCGAAAGAACGAAGAAGAATGTTTTAAATAGAGTTTGTAAGGAAGAAAGAAACAAAACAGCACATAACAGAAAAAATAGAGAGAAAAGGAAAAGAAAGAAAGAAAACGTTGTACCTATAAATAATATGGGTTGGAAAGACGAGATCCAGTTTTTCTACTGGCTATTTAATTAGTTATAGGTATCACGCCTAATGCTTTCTTTATCGCACAGAACACGAGCTAAGTAGGGTATGGTTGGGTTTTTGTACTTGCTAGTGCGAGCATATAGTTTTCTAAATAGGCTTCTGGTTTTGCCTGATGAGATGCAAGGGGAGAGTTGTGAATGAAGAGGGTGGTTTGTTTACATCAGCATATGTAACCAGTGTATGTTGATTACCACAAAATCCCTATTGAAATAATTAGAACAGAAATATTTACATACATTCTTCTGTTCTTCTTAAAATGATTCGATATGACGCCAGATATTGAATATTCAACCAATGATAGTTTTGAAGTCTCACTTGCATGCACTTTCTCGCGTGAACATTTTGAACTTGCTGCACTTGTTTTCGTGCCGTCACACACGATGGGTTTGTTCAATAAGAAGAAAAAAGATGCTGATCAAAACCAGTCAGTAACACTAAAAAAAGAAGTTTCTGCATTACAAGGTGTCAGCATTGTTGTTGGAGTGATAATTGGTTCTGGAATTTTCGTATCACCAGTTGGAGTTTTAACATATACTAAGTCTGTCGGATTGTCTTTTATTTTGTGGTCCGTGACAGGGCTATTCAGCACTCTTGGTGAGTTTGTGTTTCAGAAATTCATTTCTACATAGGCGCAATTGTGTACGCCGAGTTAGGAGTCACGATTCCTCGATCTGGTGGAGAATATATTTACATCCTCCAGACATTTGGACCCTTGCCCGCCTTTCTTGCTTTCTGGATCACATTCGTAGTGATTGGATCCGCCAGTTGTGCTGCAAATGGACTTATCTTTGCAGAGTATATTCTCCGGCCAGCATTCCTTAGTTGCAATACTCCCACTTATGCTGTTCGACTTGTTGCAGTTTTGGGGATTCGTGAGTTTTTCATTTGTAATGTTACTGTTATAAAGTAACACTTTGTTTCATACACTGCTTTAGTGTTAAGTGGGCAACGAAAATTGCAGTCGTCTTCACTACTTGCAAAGTAGCAGCTCTATTGCTTATTATTGGGTTTGGCGGCTACTACTTAGCTATAGGTAAGTTCACTATGGTTTGACACTGTTTTGGAATAAAGGACAGTTTCACCACTTGATTGGTACCTCTTTATTTTGATAAGGTAACACGGAGAGTTTTAAGAATTCGTTCGAAGATAGTGAAACGTCACCAGGAGCGCTTGCACTGGCATTTTATCAAGGATTTTGGGCTTTTTCTGGTTGGTAAGTTATTATTTCTTTGCCGTATGTTCCCGCTGAACCCAGTTTCAGAAGTTACTTGTTTATCGTTATTAGGAACATGTTGCAACTACTATGCAGTGTAGTAACCGTATAGGTTGTGTGAATAGTAATATTACCTTCATCTATACTGGAGGTAGAAGAATTTCATTCGACTGTTTTTTGAAAATGTAGTCTGACTTAATTTGTACTGTACGTGTTTAAACAATACCTGAGGTATATTGGAATTTTAGTAAGATGAATGCCTTTGAATATGTGTGACACTCAGTTCAAATCTCCACTTCAAAATTTCTGTAGTATTTTAAGCGTTTTGGAGATAGCCATGGTTTCGCATTTTTAAATATTGCAGTTTTGACATATCATTTTGAGATGTGCGTTTGCACATGCAAAAGCTGTGCAGAGTAATCAGTTCTGAAATTTATACTGTGAGAGGTTTGACATTTAGCCCTTTTTTAACAGTGGTGCAAAGAATAAAACATTGTTATATATTTGTCTGTAAAATAACTTGCATAAGTCCAGGAGCTCTGTTTTTGCATAAAATAAACAGCTATTCTGTTCTTGTAGTCACTAATGTACTATTACACACATCAATATTGTTATTAGCGTAACTTTATCCAGAAGTTATTCCTCTGGAAGGTATTTTTACAAGTAGTAAATACGTTGCAATGTGAAATGCTGAAAATACTATAATTTGTCAAAAATATTGTTATTATACTATCACTCTATATGTTAAGCTATTCTTCTGCATAATATTTTGAAGTTAAGCAACCTATATTAACGCGCTGATGTAAATATTCATACGTTTATCTGTTCACTTGAGTTTCTCAACATAAACTGATTAATTTGTATTAAAGCGTATACACTTGGTGGTGGCATGCAAACAAGCAGAAATTATCTAATTCATTAACATGGCCCTCTTCGGAACACTTTTAAGCGGTTATTTACTTTTCGTTTATTGAAAAGTGAAAGACTTTTATTCTCCTACTGTTGATTACTTCCCATCTTATATCTGGATAAAGAGTTTTAGAATTGTATGTGTGCGTGTGCCAGTTGTTGAATCCACTGTAAGAGTCAAGAACAAAAGATGTAATATGCAGCAGACTCCTGTGCATTAACGAAGGCTTAATTAATGGTAGTTAATAATATACAAATGAAAAAGTAAAATCATTTGTGGACAGTGACTATAATCAGGAAGGTTAGATAGTCTAAATACTTTATACATTCTGGGGAATTATCTACTGCTACACACTCCTCTGAACACAAAGATACTCAGTTTCTGTAGTATTTTCCTTCAAGAAATTAAATGTTTTTTGGCAGTCATATTTAGTCTTTTGTAATGTAGGGTTGTCGTTTATGATTACCTTGTACTTTGAATCCATTAAATGTGTATACATATGAGTTCGTCATATGAACTGTATAGAGCTATGGTGCTTTCTCAATTTCTGAAACTAATCGGTCCCTTCTGGTGCCCATATAACCATTTTACCATCATTTAGTTAATTCATAAGACTTATAACAGACTGTTAAAATAGCCTATGTTGGGTTTATCTCAGATGAATCTAGCGTTTCGTCATACAGCCCTGTTTCACTTTTACTATACTTCATAAACAGAAACAATTAACCAACTTTAAACTCCAGCTTCCGTGTTTTTGGTTTCAGGAATTATCTCAATTTCCTAACTGGGGAAGTAAAAAATCCTGCAAGGTAATTTTTTCTCATTTTATCCTCTGTGTGTTTTGTAAGCCTGAATACGTAATCAGAGAATATGCATGTATATACCACTGAATGGGAATCGTTTACCCTCAGCTATTATTAGATACTCATGTAAGATCTAATTTGTACTTATTTATAATGATATAAAATGTACAGAATGGGAGATACTCGGGTGAACATTTACCTACGATTTATGAAGATAGAGTTAGTGTTGTTGTACAATGGCCACTATAAGACAGTTGGAATTAACCAAAACAGTATTTTGGTTAAATAGGAATAAAGAGTTTTAAAATAGCTCTGTTTGGTTCAGCTTTTCCCGAGCTGCACATTACACTTGAGTATTGTCTCTCATCTCCCATATGTTTAAAATACTAATTCATTTTTAACTAGGATGTGTTGCTTAAGGTTATGCAGACCATGGTAAAAGTATATTTTGAAATCCTGAACACTGAGGTAAAATAATCGCATTAGGTGTTTTTGTAACGACGTACAAACAAACACGAACATGTCTAAATAGGCATTCTAAGTTGTGCCATCTTCTTGCAATATGTCTGTGAAAATATATACCAGATAACCTTACTTAGAACTGTTTTAAGTTTCGAGCTTGTAATAATAATGTGTAAATGCACTGCCATATATAGCAAATGTTTTCATGTGAGAAATAATTTTTGTTTTCACTTGCATTTATTAATATCTCTACACTTTAAACCTGGATAGTACTCTTTGAGGAGAAATGGAGTATAAAGTCAATGTGGAGGAGTATCCTTTGGATACTGTTATATATGTATATCAAAACTAAATTTTTCTGTATAACCAGTTGTAGTGCTTTGACTTGTACCTATTGTATGGAGTCAGATGACACTACTAGACCGCCTAAACCTCAGTAGTTCAAGTGACGTCTTCTTATTCCTTTACGTTCCCAGTGGAACATAGGGCTTCTAGCTAGGGGCTCGAAGTTTCGGTAGCAGTGGTGATTATTTTTACAGGATGAGGTTGCTAGCCTCACGCCCAGCCCAACGTTCCCTCTTTACCAGCTTTCAATTCTGGCTTAGCGAGGTAAGGGAGTGCGTCTGTGCCCCCAGACCATATTCATGGTTGACGAGAGTCCTAACCACTGTGTCACCGACGCACAATGACGTTTGAACTCATAATGCATAAGCCACTGATCCGCTATGTAAATAATTTTCTGTAATATTGTAACAACAGAAGAAAAAACATGGAAGCCAAGTATATTTTCCATTGATCAAACCGCTCTTTATATATCTACAGTTTATATTCGTTAACCAATCACTGAGTGTGTGATTTTGGTTTACATTAAACGACATGAAATAGAATCTTCATATATACATAGTATTCTGTTGCCAATGCAGTATTGAACTGTGTGAAAAGTATTCTGACTCTAACATCAAACAGAATGTTCAAATAGATATATCGTGTTCTACTGCTAATGCTGTATTGAGCTGTGGAAATATGCGAGAATAATATTGCGTAGGCACACATTGTCTGTATCACACCACCACAATATGTCACTATCACTCATGCCAAACTAGGCAGTGAGTTCAAATCCATAGTCATTAGTTTGTGACGTAGTATCTATACGGGTGAAGTTCAGTTTCAGTGTGCTGATCGCGTAATTACTAAACAGTGTAAACTAATATATTTATTTCTTTTATACCCAGGACTCTTCCAATTGTGATTGTCCTTTCGCTTACAACAGTTACACTAATATACATTTTAACTAATGTAGCCTACCTTGCCGTATTATCACCTACAGAAGTTCTCGCTTCAGGTGATGGATCTGCTGCTATAGCTGTGGTGAGTTGTCATAACTGTTCAATTTCATTCAGTGTTGTACTCGACTCTTATCAAAAAGTCATTGGTATCGAAGTGCATTTTCAGACTATTATTATTACTGTCTTCTCTTTATCGTATTCCCTGTGGTTCTGTTTAGCTGGTCCTACAATCGCTCATCTCCTCTATGTCATATTCGGACACATGTCCGACTCCTCGTTTCTCATTTGGGCTACACTCGAGTGGTGGCCTGATGCACGATATCACCCAACAGTCAGTCTCTTCAGCGTGTATCCGATCCATCTCCATTTTCTTCGAAACATTTATTGAGGAATAGGACCTTGATTGTTCCATTCCAAAAGTTCCTTGTTTCTTATTCTTTCCAACCATCTGATATAGAGCGAAGACAGCTACTGATAAAAGTCTGCAGACGTGCTGTTGTAAATGCTTTTCGTGGCTCATTCGCCAAGTTTCTGAGCCACATAGAAGAACTGACTGACCTAATATTCGTGTTGAAAATCTGATTTGTTTTTTCTTTATGTTGAGGTCTGTCTCGCCTTTCCAATTTTCGCTGGTTTTGACTTCCTCATCTGTGCTGTTACCTGTAGTTGAAACGAAGTCTTAAAATACCCACAGCTGTTTGAAGATAAGCAAAAACTTCACTTGAAAACTTGTTTGTTGGATGATATACCAACCTAATAACTATTTCAAAATAGACATGCAGACAAAAGTAGTGTACATGATATCTGGGTGACTTCACTTTGGTTCAAACAGCCACTTGAGCCTGCCCTACAGGAAATCAGATAACATGTAGCACAATGTGAAGAGACATAGTTGGTTGAAAATCCTCCCAGACCACTTCGAACAATGCTTAACGATCTTAAAAATTAACTTCTGACTGCTGGTGCTACAAATATACATTAGAAAAGCACTCAACCTTGAAACGCTGTATATTTCTCAAAAGCTTTCGACAGGACTCCCATTAGTGCCAATGAACAACTTGTCAATCATGTAAACTACTAGAAAAACATGAGGCCGCATGTAAGTATTTTTTTCGTAAGAACCTGTATGTCTGTTTTCAACACAGAACTTTGCACCGATGTGCAACAGCTCAAGTCGCTACACTACCTCCTTCCAGCACACAAAGCAAGAGAAGAAAGTAGAAGAAATGCATAATACAGACAGTTGTCAGGGATATGAAACACAAGGAATAGTAATAACGAAGAACAATATAGTTTCATTGGAAATTATAAGTCACAAGGAGTGCATGCATCTGCGCCACCCATTCAGAACGATTTTGAGCCATATCACCAATCATCTCCAGCCTTTATTGATGTTTACCTTCCCGAGGACCCCAACCAGATAGGAAGTCTACACCTTCACACGTGGCTGGGTTGAACTAACTGTTGTGGAGACTCTGCATTTTGTCAACGTCTTCACCTAGAAGGACTATATCATCTGCATATTCTAAGTCAACGAGAATAATCCTTGACGGTAGCAAGTCAATCCGTGAGTCACTGAAGTTAGTTAGGGTTACGTCCATCAGTACATCTATGATGAAATTGAATAGAAATGGGGATGGTCGGCATCCTTGACAGACGCCACTATTTGTCACCCCTTCAGATGACAACTCGCCTTAAGCTCACGAGAAGCTAAACACTTTTTCTGCTAGATTGAGTTTTTAACATTGTGTCCACGTAAATCACCTATTCAATTTCAGCCAAAAATCAATTGTTTGTTTTGATTATAAACTTAACAGAGTTTCGCAACGAGATGTATGGGCTCCTTTGGCTTGGTAATGCCGGCTCTCGTGGGCGCCTCTGTGTTCGGAAGTATAAATGGTGAGGTATTTTCCATTTCTCGGTAAGTTATTCGTGATATTTTTTTTGTTTTGCGTTCCACCTGAAAGAAAATGCAGTATGCATAGGGTTTGGCACATAGTTATTCTGTCATCATTTTACCAGTCATACAAGTCGAAACTGAATCCATACCTATGGAACGTAATTACTACTAAAGATATCACAGTTTTTGTTTAACTCAACTTGCTCGTGACATAACACACTCGTGACCATTAGACGTTCACCAGCAATTAGAACTAGACAGCTATATTGTTTTTTTGCTTTTTAAATCTTCAAGTTTACTGCTTGATTCATGTGAGTATAACTCATTTGGATGTTAGACGTTAAATATTTAAGTTTGCATCTGATTTCAACGTAAATTCCATCTTCAGTAACTAATATAATAAAGTAAATTGTGATTATGCAAACATGAAAGTTCCACTTTACAATATAAAATCAAAACCATACATTATGTGACGCACCGGTGCTTCGGTAGTCTAGTGGTAGGATGCTTTCCAATCACGCCGACTCATCTCCTTACCTCGCTAAGCCAGTAATAAGACTGGCAAAGAGGGTAGGTTAGGCTGGACATGAGGCTAGCAACCCCATCCCGTAAAAGTAAACGCCACTGCTACCGTAACTTTGAGCCTGTAGCTAGAAGCCATCTATGTTCCACTGGGAACGTAAAGAAATAAAAAATGTGGCATATGAAAGGTTGTTTTTGGATTGGATATAACAACTAAGGCATCTTTCGTCTCAATCAGGTTAAAATTGGAAGGGGTACGTATCAATCTGAGTCGTTTCATTTGACAAAAGTGTCATCCATAAGGTTATATCATTATTTGAGTAGAATTCAACCTTAAATTGAACGAGAGTCAGGCTAACAATGGTGGTATCAAGGAATAGAAATTTAACAGAGGGTGAGGGAAGATTACATTCTTCAGTGTTCAGACATATCGAGTCCATTGTAGGTGTTGTGACACTGAACAAACTTCTTCTTTATGCAGAGTTCGGTATTTAACGTGTGGATTGCCATCGATTCTACGGTTTCAAGAAGTTTGATGTATACTCTTCTAGCAAGATTCCCTCGTATTCTGTAAATAACTTTGAAGTTCCTCTGTGGGTTAGCTTGGTGTCTAGATCCGAACAGATGTCCCAGAATAGAGTTGTGGTGGTGGGGTGACCCATTTTTCCTTTATAAAGCCATGAGGGTAAGTGTTTGATGATACGCTTGGATAGCAAACGCTGGGTACTACCGACACACTCAGCTCCTAACGAGCAGGTGAATTGATAGATACACGTTGAAGAGGTCAGTAATGGTAGCTTATCCTTCACGTTCATGTGAACGATTGGTGTTGTGGAGTAAGTTAATCGAAGTTCAGCCTCGAGGGAAGTTTATTTTCAGTTAGGTGGTTTCTCAGTATTTCTGCCGATGAGTCCCCGCTGAATAGTAGCTTCAGGAAGAGAAGTACTTTTGGAGCAGAAAGTGTGGGTGGTTTTAGTGGTTCAGGCTTCATGGATTTTGTAATGAAATATTTGGGATAACCTTGTTGAACCTGGAATTACACCTTGTAATAACCTGGGAGATTTCCTGTATTAGTTCTGGGAAATTCAACTTTAAATACTAGTCATAGATATACGCCGTCTAAGTGCAAAGTTCTTTTGCAACATTGTCTGAAGCCTGTACCTGCACTCATCCTTGCGGGTAAGCCGCTTGAAGTTATCGATAAGTTCGTATATCTAGGTAACTGTTTGAGTGCTGTCGGAGGTGTGACGCACGAGATTTCTAATTGCATAGTAAAGGCTAGGATGGCATACGACTGTTTGAGCCACCTCTGAGACTGTTTGGACTGCAGCCTGAATGCCAAAAGTAGGGTGTACAATACTTGGGTGAGCGTAATCTTGCTCTATGCCTGTTAAATCTGGAATCTCTGCGTATTCGATCATCTCTGTCTCCGTAGAATTGTCTGCATTCGATGGCATTGTCGCGTGAGTAATATTGAGGTCCGAAGGCATGTGCTTTAGCAAGGCAGACATTACCAGTCATTGAATTTCGTCACTGGAAACACCGGTTTCAGCGGATCTCCACGAATGTCATCACAGAGGCTTTCGTACCAATCTCCGTTCGCCACTCCTGGGACTGGGTGGAAAAAGTGAGGCGGTGGTCAGCCTATGATGAGGGATATTTGTGTGAGATTAACATCATTTGGCACATCATGACTCCCTGGTCGGGATCGAAAGGTTATCAGATATGACTTAATCTTGACAAATAAGCTTTCTTGGTTTCTGGATAACATCCCACATTTATTCTCTGCTTATTTTCTCTCTCTCTCTCTATATATATATATATATATAAATATATATATAATATTTGTTATGTGGTGCATCTCTTGGCGCCTGTATTGCACCAATTTTATGTTTTTGAAACGAATAAATAATCTTAATTTTAGATTGGCGTTTACTGCTGGAGAGGAAGGACATATGCCTGCCCTACTTTCAATGGTTAACATTGAACGTCTAACTCCAATTCCGTCAGTGTTATCTGTGGTAAGTATACTTTGGAGTGTGTTCCACGTACATATCCCTTTCTTAACACAAGTACTGAGCCTAAACGCTTAGAAATTTCTGTATTTAGGTTTTATTTGTCAAAGTTATACAAGTAACTTCATATACAAGGATTAATATATATATATATATATATGTATAAAGTGGTATTGTGTCATTGAGTGTTCTGTCGTCATCTTCATCTTCGAAGTAAGCTCACTTGTGACTTTTCTTTATCCAGTAAGATAATAGGGTTATGTAATTAACTGGCGGGTGCGTCAGTGGCTCAGCAATAGGATGCTCTCCAACCACTCACATGGTCTAGGGTTCGATCTCTGGCCGCCGACTCACTATCTGACCCGATAGTAAAGACGATAAAGTGGGAAGGTTTGACGTGAATGAGGCTAGCAACCCCACCACATAAAAATAATACCTCCGCTACCTAAACTTCAGATCTCAAGCTGGAAACACAAAGGAGTAAAGTAAAGGAATAAAATAATCCACAGGCGGTTTAAATTAGTTGTTTGTTTTTTCAAGATATAAGTACATCAAATACTATAACAGTTGTACAGCATCATAAATGTATTCGGCATGTTACTAAGATAATCAGATAATATTGGGACCGTTGCTCCTGAATGCCAGTTGAAATTGTCTAACGACATGTTGAATACCACTAGTATCAGTAGCTTTTGTTAGTTGTGTTTCACATACTAGTCATTTCAAACAAAAGCATTATTTGATCGTCTCATTTGGTTCCTCCTCATCATTATTATTATTAACATTATAATTATTATCCACTTGGGTTCCGACTGGAATATAAGGGCATCAAGAGAACATTTCCAATTTTTCCTCTACTCTCCAATCCTCTTCAACTGGCCGTACGATCACTCATAATCTCTAATTTCCTCCTTACACGATCCCCTCATTGTCACTCTCACACTATCAACTGAAATTTCGCTTCGCACTAGTGTTCCACTCAAGCGATGGCCTGGCGCGAGGTGTCAACCAACTTTCTCCTCAACGTGTATCTGATCCATTTCCATTATCTTCGGGATATTTCTTGGGTTATGAGTTTGTCCCCAGGGTTTCTTCTTGCCAATTCCTTTTGGCTCTGGTCATTTGATCTTCAATATGCAGCCAGCAAATGAAGCTGTTGATAAAAGTCTTCAGTGACTTGTTAGTTATGCTTCTCATGAAGCGCTAGCCAAGTTTCTAATCCATATGGAAGAAATGACTGAATTAACTTTGGTGTGAAAGTCCGAATCTTGTTTTTTTAATCTGCTGAGTGCAGCTGGTTTCCAAACTGATTTCAGAGTGATAAAGGTCTATCCTGCCTTGCCGATTCTGGTTTTGACATCCTCATCCTCGTTGTCGCCTGCAGTTGAGAGGATGATGCCTGGATCGGTGAAGGTAGTGACCTCTTTTCATTTGATCCCATTGATAGTGATCGGTGCCTGTTGTTGTTGTTGGTGGTGGTGGTGGTGGAGGTGGTCGCTGGGCATCTTAATAACCTCCATTTTCTCTATATTCCCTTAAAGTCCTATATTTACCGTCTGCCTCTTCTGTCAGCTTGGTTTTCGCCTGTGTCTTCTAGTTTGTGTGACACGGATCATCCATGAAGACCAGATCTACAATCTTCTTATTAGTCTAAAATATTCCTGTCTTCTCACTTCCCACTCCCTGTCTTCTGCATAATCCAATCCTCCACAAATAAGAATAATAAGCTCTTTATTAAGAAGCTCGAATAATCTGTGTACTGTTACATTAGTGCTTCTGCTTATCGTCTATGCAAATCCCCGATTGAATAACCGTACAATAAATGAATCCGAAACACTTTTATTTATGTCATATGATAGACAATCAACAAGTAGTGTTCACGTATCACCCTTATGAACATGATAATTTGGGGAAAATATCTATTATTCCCAACAACAATAACAACAACAACAACTAGATATGCCCACCAACATATTTTTATCTGTAAAGTGAGGAAACGGATGAAATCCCCAACAAACTAACTCCTAAAACTTGATCTAATGGCTCACTAGTGACTGACTGGCTACAGGAAGAAGTTGTCTGTAGTTCTAGTGAGGAGCAATGACGAGTGGGGTCACCTGGTATGGAGTGAGGTTAAATACTCGCCATAGATGACATAGGCTGGGGCTAAACTAGCTGCGCCAAAATCACGAGTTGGTATAAATCGGAATTCACACACTTGGCCATTGGGTCGCGTCCCAGTGGCTTAATGGTCTACAGCCTTGTCTTGTAACTGGAAGTCCCTGGGTTCGAATCACAATGGTGGGTGCGTACTGTCGATGATAGCCACCTTGTACTTCCTGATATTCAGTGTTCCTCTAACTGATATCAATCTGTGGTTGAAGTTGAAACATAACAATGTTTATTGTGTATGTTTTTGGTAATTCCTGGTCTTCCAGTTCTCCTTAGGAATCGTCAGTTTGTGAATTTCATGATAAAGATAATAAACGATGTCATTATCATCTTCATGATTATGTTTATTTCTATAGTACTGAAATATGCCTTATCGAAAATGAACTCTTGATTTGCAAACAGTCCATCTAGCTTATTGTAAGCATAAAATTAGGCTTTATATGGAAAAGAGGTGTTCAAGTTTGGTAAAAGATCTCTCAATACACAGTGTATTTCGACATGAAGAACTTTAGAAAGGTGTTTGTTCAAATAATTTAAACTGACATTTGTTGTGGTGTTCCGCAAGGTTTGGCATTTAGTCGTCAATATTTTATCATGACGCTAGGAAACTCTGTCACCACTTACTTTATAGACAAGTGAATTGTTTCTGGAACAAACATTTGTGCATGATACTTGCAAGCCTTCAGTGTAATTGAAGTTTTCTGATTTTGATATTAGATGATTAGGGGTGATCGCAAGGAAGTCTTCCACCTACGTTTCGTGCTTGTTGGCATTCACCAGTCAGTCAGTCAGCAAGGCGTATCTGCAAACACCTTGAAGGAACTCATGTTCCTTCTGAGATTCGAACCGGTGTCACCCAGTGAGTTTTGCAGTCATAGGAGCTACCACTGAGCTATTTGGGCTCGTGACTGACTACTGATACAGACGATCCTAGGTGGAAGGCTTCCTGCAGATGGCCTCCAACAATCTAGTAACATTAACTCATAGTACACCTTGATGACAAGCCACCTAGCTTGTTGATGGTCACATTCATATCCCTGTCTAATGTCTCTCTTATGCATTTCTTCCCTTGCTTTGTGTGCTACAAGGAGGTAGTGTGGCGACTTGATCTGTTGCACATCGGTGCAAAGTTCTATGTTGAAACCAGACAGACAGATCAAGGATTTCATGAACTGATTCCAGGTTTTAGGTTCACTACCACTAGCTCTTTTCTTACCGAACTCATCCTTTCAGCTAACACTACTCATTTAGGAAGGCGATGGCTACACAGGCGTAACACATCTCCTCCTCAATTCCACTGATGTAGCTTCACAACCTCATCGATTGATTTCCCCTCCTTACTTAACAATCGATGCCTAACCTCAATACCACTCACTCTATTATACCACCTAACATGGGAGATAGAACGCAGACACCTATGATCAGTCACTTCTGATGACTATGGCAAATGGCAAACGGGCCTCATGTATGCGTGCTGAGATTTCGTCAGCGATCAACCCACTGGTATCAGCTGATGCAACGCCCCAAATAAGTGAATTGGTGGTCGACACGCTCTACTACTTCACTCCCTATCTTTAAGCTAGGAGTCAATTTAGTCCAGTCCTATAGCATCATTTTGCATTTGATACAAGCGGACAAATCTCGTGCCAAACATTCGAAGATTGCTGCTGCCCAAGGTGTTCAGAGGACTGTGCATTTTATCAGTGCCTTCACCTAGGAGTGAGGTTACTCCCTGGTAACAGGGAAATTAATTAACTTGAAATTAATCTTACTATCAATACAAAATTACTAAGAACAAACTGTAACCGCAGTACTTGTCAGTGGGAATAAAATTTATTACTTCGAAGACTGATGATGAAACTGCTTGTCTGGTCGGAGCAATTCATTAATGGAAATACTGACGTGAATATAAAGCGAATTAGAAATTAAATTATATTGCTGAAAATTCAAATTTGTTGTTACTTATCGTGTACACATCCATTTTTCTCTCTCTATCCCTCCTTCTCTTGTAGGTGATTTTAGCTATTACTTATCAAATGTTCGACGATGTATTCTATTTAATCGAGCTAACAGGATTTGCTTTTGCTGTCATTTCTGCAATGGCTGTTGGTAGTTTACTACACATTCGTCGAACACAGCCTGAAATGAATACATCTGGATTTCGGGCAGGTTACATTTTTCTGCCAACGTACTCCAGATTATTACTATATTATTATTATTGCTTCCTTTAATTCCTAGAGGAACATAGGGATTCAGCCGCATGTCTGCATTGCGTTAGGTTCTCTGCCAACCTTTTCACCTGGTTTCACGTCTGCCCATATGCTTTCATCATTTCCTCTTCAAATGACCTCCTCCATGCCACCCTTGCACTGATGACCAACTCACTCGCCTCTTCCCATTCAGGTTCCACTCGAGCGATGGTCTGGCGTGTTATGTCACTCACTCGATGGTTTGTTTTCTCAGAGTAGGGCCAATCCAATCCACCTAACTCCATTTCATCCTGCATATTTGTTGCACAATCGGTTCCTGCTGGGTTGGTTCCCTCCGAGATCCGTGTTGCTGATCTTTTATGATTGGCCATCTGATCTTGAGTTGTATTGAGCGAAAACAGCTGTTGGTGAAGGTGTGTAGTTTGTTCGAAGTGCCCTTCGTGAGGCGGCGTGGCGCGGCGCCAAGTGTCTGATTCGTTTAGTATGCAGCACCGACTTCACATTGGAGTTGAAAATCCTCATCTTTCATTTCATTTTCATGCTGAGTGTTGCTGACCTCCACACAGACTTGAGAGTCATGAAAGCTTGCTTTGCTTTCTCGGTCCTCGCTGCTTTGATATCCTCATCAGTTCCGTCAGCCTGTAGTTGAAACGATACTTCTCAGGTAGGTCGGTAGGTAGGTAAAGGAGGTTGCTTCTCTCACACTCCTCCCATTTGTGCTGATTGTTGTCTGTTGTTTTTGTTGTTGCTGTTGCTGTTGGACAGGAATCTTCATCACCTACCTCTGTCTTCTCTATGTTCACCTGAAGGAAGTGCTATCTTCTCTGGATGCTTCTTCTGCCAACTTGTTGCTTTTCACTTGCATATCTTTCAGTTTGTGTGAAGCTTTTTGCTTGAAGCCCTATGTTTCAATGGGAACGTGAAGGGATAAAAAGAAAAAAAGAAATCAACCATATCTACACTACCACCACTATGTTTTTTAAATGGCACTTTTGTTCTAAGTCCAAATTCATGGTCAGAAGCAAGTTCGTTTTTGACCGTTTGTATAGGCATATTTATCGGTGTACGTGTATATGAACTGAACTCTGGACAGTAACTCGTGTAACTTTACTCCTAAATTTTGATCCAAATCTGTCTGTCAGGTTTATTAGAACAACAACAACATTTCTTTGCACCGTTGTACATTGTGATGATTTGAGACTAAATGTTGTAAGTCGACAAGGCGTATCTGCAACCTGGAGTAGACTCATATTCGTGCAAACATTCAGACTTGTGTGTTATTCATTGAATGAGAAGCAGTCATAAGAAAAAGAGGTAAACAGTGAAGAAGAGAATTTCCTTTTTAGCGATTCATTTTCATAAGCTGTTGTACAATCGTAATTATATTTAACAAAGAAATCATAAGACCAATCAGATACTGGTAAAATTTGTCCTCGAAAAATGTATTCCGTAATGTAAAGTGTAACCTAGATGGGGTGACTGACTGTAAGTTGAAAAGAGGCAGAAGTTGGCATGACGTAATAACTTCCAGGACTTCGTCCCACTGATCCGAAAGCAAAACCTGGTACGTACATTAAGTTCAAGGATTAGAAAAACCTGTTCGGAAGACACGATAGAGAAAGCATTAAATTTACCACCTGAAACCCTACTAGTGAACGGCTATACACCAAGATTAATATACAAAGGCATGTAAGAAAAGCCTCCATCGCCAAAAGTCACAACTGTTCCTAAGAAAACTCTCTTCATGAACCTGGAGCTCAAAGGTGACATCGAAGCAGAAGATCTTCGAAACCACCTTCCTAAATGTCCGAAGAAGATATTTCCCCAGTATTTTATTTTCCTTTTCACCTTTCCTGATATTCCTAATGAATTTTATAAGATAGTTATTTGATACTAACGCTTCTTCTATCTGTTTCATTTCATCGTTTAGGTCTTTTCTGGTACTACTTAGTGCTAATGCTCGGTTTGTTAGACACTTAACTAAGCCTGCCTTACAGTTAAGGGATGAGACGAATTAAAGTCTAAATATCTATCAGCAGAATGAGTTGGCTTTTTATAAACACTAGTGTGCAGTTTACCTTCTTCAATTCGTTTTATTTTACAATCCAGCAGTATAGCTAATTCTCCTTGTTCATTTTCCGATTCAAATGTGAATTGCATTCCCTCTATTAGTGAGTCTGTACGTGTCAAGAAGCCACAAATGTGTTCTTAAACACTGTCTAGTTTGTCTAGCTAGCCAGAGGAGAAAAGAAGAATACTAGTAGCCCCATCCTCGAACACCTTATCAACTCTGGAAATCGAGCACCCCAGCATAAATGCTTCACATTGCCAAACAGAGTCTCTCAGTATCGTACGAAAGGACTTCGAAAACGCCATCCGTACATGGCTGAATCATTGGCTATTCGGGATCTGAACTCGGACCTCTGCATTCAAAAGCACCACAAACATTCACTCGCCCCTTCGTGGTCAGAGTAACGTTCCCATTATGATTTTGCCTCCTTTTATTATATAAGCTTATTATTATTATTTTATTATCATTATTACTCCCATCATCCATATTTTATTATCACTCAACTACTGTTTATTGATAACATTGCGTTTTCATACAGATTCTATATAAAAGAAACTTCATCGTCCTTTCCACTGTTTCCTGTCCATTCTACACAATCTTATCGACTAGTCATTATCTCACACCTATTACGTCATGCCAACTCCTGCTTCTTTTCTAACTTACAATCAGTCACCCCTTACGGAATACATTTTTCGAGGACAAATTTCACCAGTATCTGATTGGTCTTATGATTTCTTTGTTAAATATCGGGTATATTTTTATCATGAATCTCAACAAATAGAAAATTTAACTTGAAATTTCCTCAAGATCGATTGATCTAAAGTCTAAGACTTTCTATTGCTTGCCAATTATACAATAGATATGCTCTTAAAATGCTGAAAAGTATGATATCATAATAAGAACAGCATGACTGTACATCAGGCATTTGTGTACACACAGACACACGCATAGATTTGTTTATATCTCAAAAATTATTTACACATCTCTGATATCAACTCGTGACCAAACCCGTTACCAGTCAAATCCCTACAAACCAACACTCGATAGTTAAATCTGATGCTCACTAGGGACTGGCTCTCTACAGGAGAGTAGTAGTTACCTGGAGTTCTAGTGAGACATCGTAACCAGTGGGGTCCACCAAATCACGTAAGAGAACAATTACTCACCCATGATATTGGTTAGCGGTTGTGCTATGCACATATTGCGAATTAGTGACGTTCGGGATTCATCGGCTTGTCAGTGGATAAAGTCCCAGTGGCTGAATTGTCTACGAGCTAGTTCGCCTGTTAACCGGAATGTCCTGGATTCCAATCCTGGCAGGTGTGGCCTACTGAAGAATCCAGAACTAGGACGAAATAACTATCCAGTGCTTCCAGATTTTCCAATGGTTCTCTAACTGACATCAACTTGTGGTCTAACCTGTTACACATAATCCTTAAGTACTCATAGAAAGATGAAGACATGTGATCTTCTCATGAACGTGGATACAAGTTACGCCTGTCAAAGTTTATTTCCACACTATCTTTGAATTGTTCTGTTTGAAAAACGATTTAAGTGGGCAGCATCCTCATTTATTGAAAAATTCACCGAGATACCTTTGTTTGTTGAGTAACTTTTCAAAGATAACGTCGTTATCATTTTATTTTCTCTTTTCCAGTTACCTATATGGGTCCCTGTGTTGTATCTGGTTGTCGACATTGCTATTGGAATACTAACAGTATATCAGTCTCCGAAATCCTCTGCTGTTAGTCTGGGTGTGATGGCGTTAGGCATACCGGTGTATCTTTTTGGAGTGTCGTGGAAGAACAAGCCAAAATCCATGGAAATGCTAATATGTAAGTTGTGTTGATTGCCACGTAATTTATTTTGCACATGTAGAAAAATTAATCTGATGTAAGAAGCATTTCAGGTCAAATTGAACTATTTTCTCGTTAGACATGAAAGATCCTCAGTTTTCCGACAGATGGCTTTCTAGATTTATTTTCACCTTGTTGCGCCTAGTTGGAATACACTTCAAATTAATATGATATTCAAAATTCTCATCTCTTTAACCGGGAATCTTGGACTTTTATTCGTTATTATTCGACTGTTAAATTCTGAAATGTCTACCTGCCAGCTTACGCCATCTGTCGCATAGATGTCATATCCGGCTGGTTATTGGTCAAAGGGCGTGTGTACTGCTCAGCAGCATTTCGCTCCGTCCTGCTTTGTGGCTGTAAGTGAAACATGGTTATTAGAAGTGGAAGACAAGACAAGTCTGGTCAACTGTCGTCGATCGTAGGTGTCTGCGTTCTATCTCCCATGTAAGGTGAAATTGTGGTGGTGTGATACAGACAATGTGTGCCAACGGAATATGATTCCTACATATTCTCACAGTTCAATACTGCGTTAACCACAGAATACTATGTACATATGAAGACTCTATTTCATGTCGTTTAATGTAAACCAAAGTCACACACTCAGTGATTGGTTAAGGAATATAAATTGTAGATAAATAAAGGGCGCTTTGATCAATGAAAAGTATAACTTGGCTTCTGTGTTTTGCCTTCTTTTGTTACAATATAATAGGGTGAGTGATATTGAGGTTAGGCGTCGAATGTTAGGTAAGGATGTAAAATCAATAGATGAAGTTGTGAAGCAACATCGATGGAGGCGTCTGGGACATTTGACACGCCTGCGTAACCATTGCCTTACTTGACGGACAATGTTAACAGACTGACATAGGATGGATCAGATTAGAAAAGAGTTAGTGGTGGTCAAGCCAATACTTGGAATCACTTCATGAAGTCCCTAATAGTTAGTTTAGGTCAGCCATGTAGGGAGGTGTAGACTGACTGACTGACTGGTGACCTATAATAATAATAATAGCTTTATTCCAAACAGTATTTGTTGTACAGGTATGGAATTTTCAGCGTACATTACAATATTGCATCTAATTTCCTCATAAATTTCTATAAGATTTTAAAAATAAAAAGCAACAACAACAAAAAAAGATAAATTAAAGAAATAAAAAAGAACGGCATTGCATTCGCATATTTAAACCACAGGATATGAAATATAATATTAGTGTGTGATATAATATGTGAGCAACAATATAATAGTAACAAAGAAAGGAGAACAAAAGCTAATGGGAACCATTTGTTAGAGTGCTGCAGTAAGTTGGTCGTGTCATAGCTAACAGTTTTCTCATCACATAACAGCTGTGCCAGATAAGGTATTGGGGAGTTTTTGTACTTGGTAGTCCCGGCATATAGCCTCCTATAGTTGCTTCTAGTTCTACCAGATGAAATGCAAGGAGAGAGCTGCGTATAGAGAGGGTGTTCGGGGTCTGACAATATAGAATTCGCTAGTTTCTTACATGATATTATATGTCTATCCACAATGGTGTTAACCAGTTGGTTTGACGAAATCCCACTTCCCCTACTAACAGCTTCTGGTGCTCTACGCACCAAAGGAAAATCTTTCTTAAGTAATCCAGGAAAGATTAATGGGGAGCAGTAAAGAGGGATGGTTAGAAAGCAAAATACTGCTTTATACCAGACTGCCTTAACTTCCTAACGTAGAACGTTAAGCGAAACATCTTTTTAGTAACTAGCAAGATGTGAGAGGACCAGGAAAGATCGGAGGAAATACTCAGTACAAGGTACTTGACATTAGATGTAGTTTCAACCTCTATGCCGTCAATGATAGTAGGACCATGTGAGCTAGCTAGTTGTTGTAGGTCACGTTTTCGTCTGAAAGTGAAATTTACTACCTGACATTTAGACGGATTCAGCTTAAAACCGTTTGAAGAGGACCACTGACTAATTTCCGAGAGAAAGTTATTTAATTTGGAACAATCTGACTGAGAGTTAACAGGCATAGAGACAGAGAGGTCATCAGCATACTTGACAAAAGTGGCTACATCAGAATGGGGCAAGTCATGTAAGATTAGGTGTTCTATAATAGAGCTTCTCACACACTTCCTTTCTCCCTTGTAAAACCATGCTGAAATATGTTCTCGTATCCCTGGCTACAGCCCATATACCTTGCTCCACAAGAGCAGGTGAACTGATACATGCACATGGAGGCGGCCAGACGGGGGAGCTCATCTTTTACAGAGATGAAGAACAACTTGCTGCTGGTGAACGTCATTTGCAATTTCGCTGCAAAGAACGTCTTACTGACTGCTTTAGAGAAAGGATTTTTGAGCATATCTGAAGCTTGTTCACCTTTGAACTCCAAGTTCATGAATAAGGTTTTTTTTGGAACTGAGTCAGTAACCAGCTTAGACTGCCTATGTTTCGTGCAACTGTCGATAGATCTGTTCGGGTAACCGTTTTCTGCAAGCGTGGCTTTTATGAAGTTAAGTTCTGAGTCAACGCAATCAGAACTACAAATATGTCTGATCCTAATGCAGAGTGAATGAATTAGGTTCCTTTTCCTGGAGATAGGCAACCAACTGTAAAGTTAGTTAGTTATCCGTTCCATGTACGTTTCCGGTGAATAGATCTTTTGAGAGATCCGTCATTACGTCTACTAAGGCACACGTCGAGAAACGGAATACTTAGTTCAGATTCTTTTTCTATGGTGAATTGTAAAGAAGGATGGCAGTTGTTGAAAGCAAACAAGACATCATCAAGAGTTACGTTATTATCGCAGATAACGAAAGTGTCGTCCACGTGTCATTTATAAATGTCGAAATGATCGATGGTTTGACTAAGTTGAGAGTTTTCAAACTTTGCCATAAAACGATCAGCCAGCCAGGTACTTAGTGGTAATCCCATCGCAGTGTCATCTCCTTGTCTAAAAATCTCATTATTGAAGGTGAATTGAACATTCAGCGTGCAACTCTATTTCTACACTATGTGTATCAACATGATCATATAAATAGGAAACAGTTTTCATAATAGGTTCATTGATAAATAGTGAAGTCACCGGATATAATTTTTTAAAACTATATATATATATATACGATTATACAGCTTGATAATAAATTCGTTGAAAAGAGTCTCTTCACTGAATATTATGTTCTTAATGCTACAGTGGGAATTATTAAATTTATCTGTACCCCCTTTATCCGACTAATTGACTTACCAACGTATAACCTTACACAAAAGTGGACTAGTTCAAGTTGCCACACTTCAGAAGCTCACATCAAATTAAAGGTAAGGCGATCTAAAGGGAGGGAGGATAAGGAAGATTGGAAAGGATATTCAGGATCTCGATCAGTGTCTTAGCTTTGTGCTGTGAAAACACCATTCATCGACTGTTTTTTTTTCAGTCAGGCTGTCGAGATGCTAAAACAAATGGTTGTGAAGGATCTTCGTGATATAAGTGAAAATCATTCTCATTGACTTAAATCTATTTTGCTACCGATTTGTCATCGAGATTATGAAAAGCTTCTCTAATCTTTGTCTAGTCTTCTCACTCATGCGTCGTTACATTTCTTTGCCCTCATTTTGAGTGTTTCTTCGAAGTTTATTAAGGGGAACTGATGCACTCCTTTGCCAAGGTATCTGTTCATCCAGCAGTTTGTCTTCCTGCTCACATCAGTATGAGTAAACTAATATGGTGGGTGTATTCCAGATGCCACTTTTGACTTACATCATAATATTGTCTCTAGTTTAGACAGAGGTGCGAAATATCTACAGTGTGCCTCCCTTGACTACACATCTGCCTTTAACTCTGTACCTAGGCCTCTTTTGTCTAACAGACAGCTTGCTAAATTCATAAGTGGTTGCGTTCTTACTTACTTAGGGAAGTCTTCCACTCCTTCACTTGTTCTAACCAGTGTCCCTCTAGGTGCTACTCTTTCTTGTTACATAACTCAGCCCCATTCTGACGAGATCAATTTTGTTAACTATGTCTATTATCTGGCTGTTTCTGCACCTGATACTCCTCAGTCAGATTGTTACCGAGTCTTTTGTCTTCTACTTTTACAGTAGAATTTTTTCAAATACACACGGTTCTTTATCTCGTAAATGTGTGTTTTAGTTAGCTGGGACGATTCCAATCTTCTTTAAGGCGTTCATTTAACATGGATCGTTTCAAATAATGTTGTTTTTCTAAATGTCTTTATTATTATTGTTATTATTATTAAATGTTATTTACAATGAAATATCTTTCAATATTCCTTATGTTGTACAGATCGAGTCACAGTTACTCTGCAGAAAGTTTTAAAAGTTGTTGTACAAGAAACTGCTCCTGACACTGTGAAAGAAAATGGCTTCAACATGAAATCTGCACCATCATCTCCTGAACTTTCTTAGCGTGCTACAAAATAATAATAATGATGATGATGAGTGATCGGGAGAAAAATTTCTATAATGTGTGTCGTTTATTTATAACCAAATCGAACTGCTGATACACTACTGTCGCTGTGTTAGTTATTTTTTATACTTTTGATTTTCTATTCGTATGTAAACTGATTCAACAACCCTGTGTAATCTTCCATCTTATCATCAAAGCTTGCACCATTCTCACCACCAGCCTTTTTTACGCTTCCTCTTCGTGGTCCTCCTCCTCCGACTCTACTCCGCCTCCAGCTTAACGCCGCCTTTGTGACATTATGGCTTATCTTTTTGTCTTTTCTATTTTGTGAATTATACATGTGTAATAATTGATTAGTGATGCCTACAACAGAAACCTTATTCCCCGTTTTCGCTTAAATCCAGTATGATTATATGATTATTATTATTGTGTTACTTTATTGCCCAATTATGCTCCACATTATTCTTACATAGCACCCACCCTCCCTCCTGCACGCCTCCCCTATCTATTCAATGGGACAATAGATACACCACATACATGTGGGTGTATGCATACAATAATTTTGTTTATTGAATTATGAGAACAGACATCGATGTATTCACATTTGAAACTGTCAGCTTTATCTCAACGAAGATATAAATCATGCATGTATATGATTGTTTGAAGTCATTGAATGTTATTCGTTAGAAGAAAGAAATACAAAATGTATGTAGACGACTGTGTACTATTGTCAAAAATATTTGAATATCCTTTATGCTTGAAACATTGATGTAAATAAAGGTTTCACAAATATAAATATATATGTGTATGTAAACAAGTGAGTTTTATACAGTGAGACATTTTCCTTTTTGGAAAACTCATTTTCATTGTCCATTCAAGCTTATCGTGTCTACCACCCACCCTTTTGAAAATGTATGTTTGCGTTAAAAGGTGGGGCAGTAATTCATCGAAGAAGACATTGTGAGGTGGTCGCGCTGTATCATGAATTGGGGGAAGTTAGAATTCATGCACTGGCCATTGGATCAGTCGGGTCCCAGTGGCTTAATGGTCTACGAGCTCGCTGGCCTTGTAACTAGAAGGTCCTGGGTTCAATACCGAGAGGTGGGTGCGTACTGCTGAAGAGTCCCAGACTACGACGGAGGAGAAAGTTGTTCATTACTCCCTGCAGGTTTTCCAATGGTTCTCTAACTGATGTCAGCTCATGATGAAATCCTCCAATCCCATCAAACAAAATTCCTTACAAAACCAATACTTTAAAATGTTACATCATATATCGGCTGGTTGACATGGAAAATAGATTAAGGCAGATTTCGATTGGCTGTTGGCTAGTTGGCTTCCTATTGGTCTAAAATATAAGTTAAAGCGGTAATCTTTTTATTTTGACACGGAAATTTACAGGCAGTTTAATTGAAGACTTACCTTACCATAATATCACATAATGGCGTGTTAATTTTTTTGGTTTTGGTGTGAGTGTAGTGTAGATGAGTCACATGCTACTGGGATGCATTAGTGGTGTTTAAAGTACATTGAGATGTATGAGAATGTCTAGTAAGTGAATATGAATCAAGAATAATTTCGATACATGTATTTTAAGTCCCGAATAGGACGTATGCATTTTTGCTTACTAGGCGAATATAATTCAACTACAACATCTGAACATTTAATGTCTTTAATTAGGATATATATATATTGTATTAACTGATCCACTTTTTTAAGTTATCAGTCCAGTGACCTGTGTGATTTGTGCTTACTAGGTCAGCATAAATCAATTACAACAATCTACTAGGTCACAACAGTGGTGGGTACAGTTTAAGCAAGCTTTTGACGCATTTATGAAGGTACTAACTAAATTATTCACTATTTCTTTGAAAGTAATCCAACACATCCTATCGGGTTGCTTCAAGTAAAGATGACCCATTCGGCCCTATGGAATATGAGTTTGTGAGGTATAAATGCACTTTTGGAGGTTAACGTGCTCCCCGAGGTGCTGGCTTTAGGAGCAGAATGTAAGTTGGCTGTAGGTGTAAATTTTGAAAATTTTAAGGTTCAAAAGTATTTCATGTCAGTCAAAAATTATAGTACGGCGTCCATCCAAAGAATACGAGATAACAAAATACCAAAATGTGCATAACCATCCATGCACAGCAAGTTTCATGTCCACCGATGTATCTAGACGTCGGCTATCATCAGAGGAAATGACAGTTGTGCAACCGTTTATTGAAAGGAACACTGATGTCCATGAAATCATGGATTTAGCGCATGAGAAATTCGGCAAAGTTCTCCTGTATAATGATATTACAAACATGCGGGCTGGGATAAATAAACATAAGTCGTATCAAAATAAATGGGGCAGTAGAATAGAAATCGGTAGTTTACAAGACCTCCTTCATCGACTGAAACAGACAGATCCAGTTAGTGTTCTGCAGGACAATGCAGGTTTTGTATCGAAAATCATTTTCGCTCGTAATGATATGATAGACCTCTATCATAAGTTTCCAGAAGCACTTGAGATTGATCGTACTTATAAAACGAATAAGATGGGGTAAGTTGCAGTACAAGAAGGTATAATTCCTTCTACAAATTTATTACAGATTTCCTTTATATCAGTTTGTTGTGACTGATGGATTTGGAAGAGGAAGGACTGTTTTATTTACTCTTACTAGGAGGGAAAGGTTTGCAGATATCAAGGAGATATTGCAGACGTTTAAGAGATTTATGAGAGATATATCGAAAACAGTAACATTCACTGTCGACTGTGCAACTGCACAGATGAACGCTCTAAAGGAGGAATTCCCTAGGTGCAGCATTGTTTTATGTCTTTTCCATGTATGCCAGGCATTCAGAAGGAAGGTAAGTTTCATTCCCACTAATTAACATAGCGAAAACAGTTCCCAAATCAACGTGTTAAAAAGTGGTTGTATCGAATGGAGCACATGCGCAGTTATGACAGGTAGGTTAACAATTCAGAATATATTGGCAAAGGTTTTTGGAGTTACCTAAGCTTCATAAGTATTATAGACGCTTAGGCTGGTGCTTACATTAGAAGGTACTGGCTAAGAACACGGAAATATTGGGCTGCATCGTGCAACCGGTTTGCCATCAGCATGGGGAACCATACTAACAACAGGGTGGAGAATGCTCATAGGCAGCTGAAAAGGTATTTACGCAAAGATGATCCGCTGGAACTGACGCTATGGAAAATATGGAGGTGGACTGACCACACAACCATACGTAAAATACGTTAGGGTCAGTGGATACTTTGTAAATATTACAATTACGATGTAAGTTTCAATATAATTTAAAATTTTTCCTAGGTGCATACATCGCTGCAGTCTATATTACGGCGTCTCACACCCTTTGCTGCCAAGAAAGCTGTTTTAGACTTGCAAAGGCGCTTTTTCTTCTTCCATTCAATATCCTCCACCTCAGTTAATTACGCAGAAGGTAGTCACATCTTCTTTGTAAACAGGAATGAGGCGAAATGCACATGTTGGACATACTGTGCATGCAATTTGCCATGTGCGCATGTCGTTGAGGCTTTCTTGAATTCATATCTAAACTGTGGTATGTCCCATTTCCAAAGAAATCCGGATGCTGCACTGTGGGAAATAACAGAGTTCACCAGAAGGTTGGACAGTTTGCTAGTAAATGAACAAACAACTTTAAGATCACAACGTGCCCCTGTTAATCGCTTACTTTTTGTGAAAATGTTTGTATTACCTTATTGTTTCCGTATGTATTCATAACATAAACATGTATGTCTAAACTGCTGTTACACTTCCTTTCCCTTTAAATGCCTAAGAGTGACAGTTTAAAGCATACTTTGGTTGATTGTTTCGTGATGAGAACGCTTTGGAAGTCAGTTAGAAATTACACCGATCTGTGCCTAATTTACTACGTTTTATCAGCCGAAGATTTCTAGTTCATAGCATATCCTGAGTAACGGTGACTAATACGATTTATCGCTCATACCGTAGCAACCCCAAGCTTACAACAATTCTAAACTTATTCTTACCTATTCTTCGAAAATGCCTTTTTATGGTAAATGAAGATTTTATCTACCCACTATCTTCTGAAATAACGCTGGTCGTGCTGAAACAAAGAGCTGGGTGCTGATTTAAGTCCTTTCTTTCTGAAGTAACACTAGTCCGTGCTTAATGTGTCCTGTGAGGGCTGGAACAACGCCGACAAACAAACCCAGCAGGTTCTAATCTACTCCTGAAAATGCCTAGAAAAAGAACAGGGTGCTGAATTAGTGCCAGTCATGCTGAAAACCTGCACTGAGTTCTAGTCTGTGCCATTAAAGAATCCATTTCAGAACAAATTCAGAATTTACTCACTATAGAATGTTAGAATTATTTCAGAATTAGTGAGATTTAATTCAGTATTATTATAAGCTTGGGACGCTTAAAAGACCAAATTTACAACAATTCTCAGCAAAATCTAACCAACAGGTCAATAATGCCTTTTTACGTTAAATGAATACTTTATCTACTTGAAGTGAACCCAGTATGTACTGAAATAGCCCTGGTCCTTCTTAAAAAGGAGCACTGGATGCTGAACCTGGGCTACGAGAGCTGCAATAAGGCTGATAATTTACTTCTGGAAATGCGTAGAAGAAGAGCAAGGTGGTGAATTACAGCCAGTCATGCTGATAAACCAGCGCACAATTCCAGTTTAAGCAAATAATCAAACAATGGCAGAAAGTTTACTTACTAAAGAATGTTACTATATCAGCATAGTATACATGAATTAGCTCAGTGATTGCAGGTTTACCATAATCCTTAACTACCAACTTAATAACTGGGAACTTCAGACTAAAAATAAGCTTAATAGTAGCATCCAGTGACAAAAACTGACCTACACACTAGAAAAAATAAGCAAAACATCCAAAAGAACCTTTAAATTTCGATGGAAAACGAATTCACGAAAACATATAAGCAGTGGACGCATGAACCCATCATGACCTTGAAACTGGCTATAGCGTCTTTCCACAACGGTTAGTACGCTCCCCAACCATACATATCGTCCGGGATTCCCATAGTATAGAAACAAACTATAATAAAATAAATGAAAAAATAAAAATAATAACTTGTAATAGATTTTAATTTTAGTGCGAGGTAGGACGACTAGTAGCAGTTGGGATCGAGGATCCTGCCTTCCCCAGTGAGTGTTGATGGTTGGCTTGAACCTAGTACACCACTGGTTTCAAATGTCAAAGCGTGTTATCCATTGAGACCACTTTGGTTACAACGGCCACCCCCACTTGTACAATTTCTTTTTGTTCCTTCACGTTCCCAGTGGAACATAAGGCTTCAAGCTACAGCTTTGAAGTAGCAATGGTATTTAGTTTTACGGGTTGCTAGCCTCATGACCAACCTTCCCGCATAGCGAGGTAAAGGAGTGCGTCGGCGACCGTGGATGGAACCCCGGACCACCTGCGTAGTTGGCGAACATTCTACCACTGTACCACCGACGCCACTTGTGCAATGGGTGT